AAAGTGAACCCAAAAAAAAAAAAAAGAAAGAAAGAAGTTGGCCCCTATTCTCAAGGGAAACGAGTAAAAAAAAAAAGAATAAACAAATTAATTAATATAAAAAATCCGAAATAAAAAAGATTTATATGGCTTTGTTTGCCTTTTTCTTTTTGAGCATCTTTATGTTTTTATCATAAAAAAGAGAGAGGAAAAAAAAAATGACAATTCTCAAGTATAGATAAAATACTAATTTCTAGAAAGGTGGCCAAAAATTAGTCGGCAAGAAAATTTTTTGAAATTTAAAAATAATATTTTTCATAATAAAAATTTTAAAGATTTTTATTCAAAATTTGATATTTGAAAATTTTTAAAATTTTATAATTCGTGTATTTCTACATATCTGTTTCATATAAAATAATTATAAAATATAAAATTATTATGTTTAATTTATATTGATATATCAAATATAAAATATATATTTATTTTTGACAATATATATAATTTTTGTTAAAATTTTATATTATATCATTTTCATATAATTAATTAATTATTTTTTTATTTTCATAGTAACTACTAAGACATCTTTTATTAAAAAAATTCATGTAAATGTTAATTACTACATATTATCCCCTATAAAAAAAATGAAGGTCATATTTGCTTAAAAATTCTAACACTTCTTTTTTGAAGTGTTCTTTGCCTAAAATTTACATTATTTTTTTTATCATTTAAAAATCATATGGCTTAGAGCTCATTGAAATTGGATCCACTTCCAATGCAAGTTAACGCTACAAAATTGTAATCTTTGAAGTCGTTTCCCATTTCACATAACAACAGTTGTACATTTTCAGCTTTGAAAAAGAATTTGCCGTTTCGAAATTCTCTCTTCAGAGTTGAGTTTAACGTGCGACAAGACAAAAGCCAAAAGCAAAGCAACAAGGTGACAGCGTTGAACCTGGCATCATCACATTTATTTACATCCACAAGATCCTAACTCTGGGTTTCCACTTTTAACCTCGGTTTGTCCGATTTTCAGTTTTCTATCTTCTTTTGTCTCTTCCTCTATCTACTTCTGTTCTTCACCCTTATGAGCCCCTTCTTCTTCCCACTATCTGTTTCAGTGTTGCTTCACGGGGATGCATCTTTTTACTTCTTACCCCTGTAAGTTTATGCTTTGTAATTTAAATGCATTTTTTGCTGGTTTACTTGTTGCATTGTTGTGTTTTTGGACTTCTAAAGTCTGGGGTTTTTTGGTATCTGCGTTTAGTAAATGTTATAGTTGATTAGTGATTTGAGTTGCTACTCACTATAAAGGGTCTAACTTGGCTAATCATGGACTGGTGTGAAATTTGCTGAATTAGGCTGTTTGATCGTAAGTGGGGAAATATAAGCTAATAGGGGAAAAATAGAAACTTTTAAGACTTTACTTCTTTGTGCTTTAAAGGGCCTTAACCAGCAGGAATTTGATAGATCTTAGAATTTGAATTTTCTATTTTGTGTTTTATATATACACACAAGAAGAAAGTTATGTTTATGTATACTTGAGTTCTTTCAATTTAGTGGAAATAGTGGTCTGATCTGTGCCATTGTTTATGCTTCAATAAAGGGATTGTAAGATCTTTTGAGAATGTTTGATTAGTACTTAATCTCTAGTATATTGGATTATGAGACGCGAGATGGTGATTGAATCATGGTTTGGCAATTTATGGTGGAATTCAAGGAAGAGTGCTTCAGACAGTACTGACAAGGTGGTGCTTGGAATCTTGGCATTTTTACAGGGTTTGCTTACTCATAGCCTGACTCGGTGACTCTAAAACCAACTATCCCCGGGGGCTGACTAAAAATAGCTATAAAAGCCAAGCAGGAGACAAGGCAGGGACTGAACTTCGTCCCCAACTCTAGCATCGGTTCTCGAAATGAAACTTAAGTTGCCAGCTCAGTGTCTAAGTTGGTGCATTTATGGCAGTTTTTGGATGATAGGGAGATCTTGAAGTTGAGGGAAGAGATTGCAAACTCGATTGGAATCCAAAGGGTTGTATCTGATGATGGAAATTACCTTATGGATCTTGCACTGAATTAGGTAATTGAGAATTTTGGAAATCAGGCAACATCTGTGGCCAGGCTTGGGAAGAAGTGCACTTACCTTATATATCACCGTTTTGAACATTTCATAAATGATCCAATTTTGAACAGTTTTGAATGGTTTGGGTGGGAATATCACTGGAAGAAGATGGAGAGGAAAGTAAAGAAAATGGAGAGATTTGTTGCAGTACGATGCAGTTGACTCCAGAGTTGGAAGTGCTGGCAGAATGTGATTAAACTCTTAGGAGGATGCAGAGAAATGCCAAGTCAGATTAGTGAAATTACTTGAGTTTCGATGATGGAAGGTATTGTGGCAGTTTCAGGAAGTAAAAAATCTATGTGAGATGTCGACATGGGTTAGAACTTATGATTACATTGTCCGGCTTCTGTTGAGATCACTTTTAACAATACTTGAGAGGAAAAAAAAAATGTCTTTGGGACCAATCAAGTGGCATCTGTAGATGGTAACAATCATTTTGAATCTATTAATAGCAACTGTCTTTCATGCAGCCATTCCTTTTCCACTCTAATACCGTCTTCAGTATACCCTTCTGATAATAATCTGTGTGGATTCTCCACTGGACCTCTTGGCAGGTCATTTTCAAAGTCTGTGCAGACAACTGGCAAGCATCTACAATTACATTACCAGTCTGCTGCTTACATTTCAAGCAGCCACATTCAAAAACCAAACGGGGTCATGTTGGTGTTGGGCCTTTTAAAGGATGCATGTCAGCTGGAAGTAATTGTCCCATTTTAGAGGGCTGCAAGTCGATTGGCACTAGAAATATCGGGTTCATTGTTGCTTACACCAAAAATATTGACAAAATAAACAGTTCACAGATGGAGTCATTGTCCTGCAGCAATAAAATATATTCTAAACTATCCACTTTCAATACCAAGCGCTTGTTGAATGCTCCTACATCAACACTTAGTGATGGTGCATTATCTCTCCACTATGCAAACATGATTATCTTAATAGAGAAACTAGTTTCGTCACCTCACTTGATTGGCCTTGATGCAACAGATGACCTGTACAATATGTTACGTACAGCTATGAGAAATGCTCTACGTGTTAAACTTAACTTGTATGTGAAGAATTTGGCTTCATTCATCCATGATGCTTCCCTTGCAGCAAAGTGGAGTCTAGCACTAGTGCGGATATTGGAATGGCTGACTCCCCTTGCACACAACATGATTACGTGGCAATCCGAGTGTAATTTTGCGAAACAGCATGTGGTTTCCGGGTCAAATGTACCTTTGGTGCAGACGCTACACTTTGCCAATCGAGCAAAAACTGAAGCAGCTATTACAGAGCTTCTTGTAGGCCTTAATTATGTCTATAGGATTGGGAGAGCACATAATGAAAAAGCTTTACAGGACTTTGCTGGCTGTGGCTGTACCAGTGTACCCAATATTTGCTCAAAAGGGATGGCATAAGATAACTATCAACTTCCTGAAGCAATGCTCAATGCTTCCATGAGGCTTCTTTTTAATGTCCAGAACAAAGAAGAAATTCATCCCATCATTGAGGTACTGCATTGAGTGTTATGTCGAGCTCATTCTATCTAGTTCGGTTTATTCATTTGCAACTAATAGATTCTTTTGTTTGTTTATATATAGTCAATGAATTTAGGTAGCTAGCCATTTGTAACGAATATTACTTATGGTAACATAAGCTTGCCTTGGTCCCGTCGGAGTATTGGCATTCCTCAAGCATTACATACTGAATAAGATGTTTTGCAACTTTATTGCTGTTAGTTAAAACGCTATGATTTTGAATGCCCTGCTACCTCATAACTATAGGTACTACTCTTCACAAACAAAAAAGCTAGGGTGACATTGATGTTGTAGTGTCGATATTTTGTCCTGAGTGATGGGAATCATTTATGCTTTGGTTCTTTTTTCTTGTGGGATGGCCTGTGGCAATGTGATAAAAAAAATGATGGGATACCTACAAGTACTTGAAATTTATCAGTGCCAATTAACTAAACTATAGGTTCTGAATTTTATGGTTGCAGTGACAAAGTAAGATAAGCTTCTTGAGAGCTCATTTTTGTTTTACCAATTTACTGTACTTAATCATGCCTACCATATTAATTTGTCTGTTGCAGAGGATTCTTCAAAGTACTTATTAATGGTGTGAACAATTAATCTTGCGTGATCATCTTGCATACATGACATGCTTCTTGGTTATTGCTTCCAATGGTATGAGCTTTCATATTGTTATCCCCACCGTTTCATTCATGTCTATAGCCTCTTTCGTGTTGTTGCTTGCAAGCTCCCAGTGAAAGGAATGTAGCAAGGGTTGTAAGCTAATGAGATGTCTAAACAAATTCGTCTCCCAGATCCAAAAGGGATCAACTCAAAATTCTGTCCCATGTAGTCTATTTTTTTGGCCTAAAAATCGTTCGGTCTAGAATGTGAAGGGAACCTACCCTTTACAAGCCTGCTTACAATTTACATGGCTCGTCCAATGTCCTGACCATGTTCCCCTTGGTCTCCTGGGTATCCAACCATTTCTGGACAGGGAGGAACTAGGAAATCGACCAAGTTTGGCTGCCCAGTCCATTCCATGACCTTGTTCATGGCATCAAAGAACTCTTTCCCTTCTTTTGATCGACAACATGAAAGCTCCCGCCACAGCACGAGGTTGCCAAATGCCAACCAGGTTAAATGACACGAGGAAAAGAGAGAGCCAAAAGTTCCTCACCTTCTCCCATAGCAGATACTAATATTATATGCAAACAAGAAGGGTATATTCAGTGTTATATAATAATTTGATTTATGATAAATGAGTTTCAATGTGAATCTTATGGAAAAAAAAAATTAGAAGTTTAGGAATTGCCCGTATTTTGTACTCTTCTTGTTCTCATGTCTATTCTATGGTCCAGTCATGAGTAGCATTGCTAATATCAAACTTCCAGTCAAAGAAATGAACCACATAAGACAGCCAAATTTAATTACACGTTGGCTTCAAGGACTAATTAAAAGATTATTAACTGTAATTAATTATAGTCAGGAACACTGGTGTTCGAAGGAAACTGAATCAGCATCAAACAAACCAGAAGTCTGTCTCTCTTGAAATCACCCTAAAATTTGATCAAATTAAATTTTGTCCCAAATCCAAATAATATAATGAAATTTGCAGTACGAGACATTGAATGAAAAATCTGCTTGGCACAATTTCCATGCAAGAAATGGTGATCCTGGGTGAAGTTTCCTTCAGAGATCCTGAGTCTTGACAAGTGCCCTTTCATCAACCCTTTGTTGTCAATTTTGCTAATCATAAAAAAAAACGTAACATAAACTATTCATCAGATGCTTTAATATTATTATAAAATAAACTTACATAAAGTTTCAAATTGACTTGCTTTACTCTAGTCTGCGGATGTCCGAGGCTTTTTAGGAACTGCTAGTAATGGCTCCAGCTTTCTCATTGTTACACCCAATATGTCTTTCATGTCAATTGTCTCCTTGGTCACATTGCCTCCAAGTTCCCAATCAAAGTGGTGAAGCAATGAGCCTAAAACAAGGTGAAGAACTCTATCAGCTAGTGCCACACCTGCACACATTCTTCTTCCTGCTCCAAAAGGAATTAGCTCATAATGATTCCCCTTGTATTCGATTTTAGATCCAATAAACCTGTCAGGCTTGAAGGATAAAGGGTCAACCCACACTTCCGGATCCCTTCCAATTGCCCAAGCATTTACAAAAACTTGTGTGTTTTTGGGTATGTGATACCCCATAAAGTTGGTGTCTTGGATTGCCCTTCTTGGGATAAGGAATGGAATTGGAGGATGTAACCGAAATGTTTCTTTTATTACTGCGTTCAAGTAATGAAGATTTTCGATGTCATTCTCTTCCACCTTTCTATTTGGCCCGACCACCCGAGTAAGTTCTGCTTTGGCCTTGATCATGGTGTCTGGATTGCAAAGCAGCTCGGTAAATGCCCATTCTATGGTGCTGCTTGTTGTTTCTGAACCAGCCAAAAATATTTCCTGGTCAAAATTTCAGTAAGGTGTTACAAAATGAATGCCAGGAATCAAGATGAGGAGCTTGTTGGAAGGTATTTTTCTGTTGCAGTTATGGCAGAAAAGCAGAAGTTGCATTAGAAGGCTAGTTGAATTTAGACTTTGTTAAGAATTGTTTAACCACCATTTATTTTAATTTCATCGCTATCACTCTTTTTAATTTCATCATAACTAATTTCACCCCATACAAATAACGACTATTAGTTTCCAGCTACAGCAGGAAATGAGTTGGCAGCTAGTTATTATTAACAACTGTAATGCCAGTTACTAGTTCTAAAAATAGGATTAGTTTACAGATATAAGACTGAAGACTGAAGACAAGTGCTTCCAAGGTTGGAAAGACGGAGAGCAACAACCCACCATTGGAACAAACATGGAAATCTTTTGTTTAACAAAACTATTCTGTTTTGAACAGAACAAATTCACCAATGAGCCTATGTAGAACGTCTGGTACAGAAAATGTCACTCGGCCATTGCCTGGAAAGGATAGCTTCCATCTAATTTGGCTGATTTCTAATTAATTGGATTCTATATGAGAATATGTCCTAAGATTAACCCTTGCCATTGATTTCTTGATTCTCAACTTTTATTTTCAAGACATTGAACCAAATAACAGAAGAAATATAGCAGCATGATATGTTTCATTAAAGTAAGAGAATTACCAGGATGAAGATATTCAGGTCTTTGTCAGATAATTTGGCTGGTTCGTCCTTGCCATTTCCTTCAAACTCAATCAACAAATCCAAGAAATCCCTTTTATCTTTCCCGATCTTCTTCTCTTCCATTCTTTCCTTCACAAACTTGGAGGCAATCTCAATAGCCTTACCAAGATCCTTCTCCATCTTCCTTTTCAATCCCTGAGGGTCCAGCCACTGCAGCCACGGGAAAAAATCTGCTATATTTCCTTGCCCGGACAATGTCATTAGGCTCAACATGGTCATGAAAAATTCTGAACCCTCCTTTGAATCAGGATCGAACAAATCACGCGACAGCATAAGGTTTCCAAGCAAATTAAATGTCAACAAAAACACAAAACGTGCCACATGAATTCCATTTCCATGTGACTCTCCTTTCACCTTGCATGCCTCATCTTCGATCCATTGCAGCATATTATCGACACATTTTCTTCGTATAGAAGCTGTTTCATTTATCCGCTTGTTGACCAACATATCGACCGTAACTAGGCGCCTTAGCACACGCCAATATGAACCATACGGGGCTAGAGCTACGGAGCTTTTGTGGTAATCGTGGGCGCGCATGGTATCTGTGATGTTGCGCTCAGCAAAGGAGAGATCGTGGTTCTTGAACAACTCAGCAGCTGCTTTTGCTGAAAGAATTGCCATGGTGTTCACAGTGCCTAACCTGAGCCATATGACTTCACCATACTTGTCTCTCAGGCCGGTCAAGGTCCGGTGTGGCATGGTGCCAAGGTCGAACATGTTTCCAAGAATCGGCCATCCTGGTGGCCCTGGAGGGAGCTTGCCAGGGGTGAAGTTTCTTCTTCGGAAGAATAAGAACAAGGCTGATGATGAAAATATGAAAAGGCAAACAAGAAAACTTGGAGTCAAATCCATGATTTTGCAGGCCAAGTTCTACAGTCCTTGGCAGCTTTCTACACTTACCTTGATATTATAAGGAAACATGCAAAAGGGTTGATTGAAATTCTACTTTATAAATTACTTTTTAAAAATTTTTTTATGTAATTATAAATATCATTAATAAATGTCGGATTCCATAGTTTTTTAATCAACAATTGTTTAGAAATTTCTCTTCTTTGCTTCTGTCTGATTTCATCTCTTGGCAAAATGACAAATTAAAGAAGTGAAAGCATTGTTGGCTGAGATAACTAGAAGACACAAACTTAGATGCCATCAATTATAAAATCTTTGAAAATATAAATAAACGAACAAATTAAGCATTTGTCCACTTAAACAAATTAAAGTATCATTTAAATTTTTTTATTTTATTACAATCAATTAAATAACTTCGAACATTTATTTTTATTTAATTAAAATTTTAAATATTTATTATCACTCAATTAAATTATTTATTAATTAATTAAAATCGTTCACTTGAATCACATAAATGTGGTGAGCGATAAAAAATTTCAATAAAATGATAAAATTTTGAATATTAATATAATTTTAGTTCAATTTTTTTTTAATGAAGGCTACGTACTACTCCAGGGCCCCAGCCCCCATGAGGTCAAATTAGCCGGCGCTTAACCATGCAATGTTTCACATGTAGTGGGTCCAAAAGACCATCTAATTTATTACTATCTAATACCGTACTATTTTGGTGCTACCATTAAAACTCTATTAATGAATATTTATTTCGTATGAACTATAAGATCATAGCATTTTTTTCCTTTTTTTTATTTTTTTATAACGAAAGCTATCATTTGAAAATAAAAAAAATAAATTATTTTTTTAAAATAATTATATAAATTAGCTGAATTAAATTTTGAATTTTTTTTTGTTTTACATTTGGATAAAAAAAATGTGATTATGTATTATATAACTTTAGATCAATCTCAAATGAAAATGTTAATTACAAAGTTAAGTCATGATATATATATTTATGAAATAAAATAAAGTGATGACTCAACAATCTGGGATTCAAAGAGGCATATTCATGAGTTTATTCCATCAACAGAAAAGGAAAAGATTCCCGGTTTACCAGACATGTAGAGACAAATATCAAAAGTTCTGTACTCTAATGTTGAAGCATATTGTCTGTTAAAGCCGTCTTACTTGAAGAGAATCATCCTCCCGATTCCTCGCTCCCTTCCATTTTTTTTTTTCCTGTCTTTTTAATATGATGCAACTTTTTTTTTAATAAATTTGTCAAGTTGATAACATTAAGATTTAAATAGTAAAAAAAATTATTATAATTATGATAAATAAAAAAATTATTATAACTATGATTAAAAAAAATATAATAAAATTTATTAAAATTAATATTTAAATTTAATTAATAATATAGTGAAATCGATTACACTGCACTAAAAAATTAATGAAATTTAAATCTTCACTTAAGCATAGATAAGCATGTTGTTATCTATATGCTTATTAATTCTCTGAATAATTGAAATAAGACAAGTTAAACTTTTACTTTTAAAATTGATATTATTTACACGTCGTTGTCATCATGTCTCTCCTATGTAGATTGGTCTTGAATATACTTTAAAATAATGGAAAAGATTTTATATGAAAATTTATAAGTAAAGTTGTAAAATTTTTAATAAAAATAAATATATTAAACTTAACATATTCAAAAATTTTATCACATAAATTAAATATGTAAAAATCAAAAGAAATTTAATAAATTTTGATATATTTATTAACATATGTTTTAAATAAAAATATTGATAAAATTTTTATTATTAAATAATTATTAATCAAATTTAAATTATAAATAATTTTTTAATAATTTTTTTACATATTAATAATTTTTATATTAAAATTTATCAATTTTTTAATTTAAAATTTTTATTTATTTATTTTTAATAAAAAATTTCAAGAACTTTATCTAGTATAAGTTTTGTCCTTAAATAACACAATCTAATAAAAGCCCAATTTCAACAAACCATCCACGGCCGCCCCATATAAGGCATTGACACGACCTTCAAGGGAGCAAATTTCTTATGTGCTTTGCCCATTCGTTCATTCATGTCCATATTCTCATGCTTAAGCCCATTAGCCAAGATCCAATCGAAAGATTGTAATAAAGATCCCCACGCAACGCGAAGCACACCAGAGGCAAGACTCGAGGGATTGCGAGCCATTTTAACCAAAGATACGTACGGTGGCCAACCTAACAGGAAAATATTGTTGCCAACCGTCGGCCACATTCTTGGCCCTGGTGGAAGCAGCCACGGTTTCTCCGAACGACAATTCTGGCGCTGTTTCGCCATTATTGCGCATCCAGCAATCCATAGCAAAACGGCTACTACTAACCCCAAAGTTTCGTAGTCCATTATTTTTTTGGTGTGGCTAAAATTAGGGTTGTTTGGAAATGTTAATAAACCCAAAGTTCCTTTTATATTAGTTTGTGAATGGTTGTGACAAATTTATGCATTGTTTTTTTCTTGAATATTCGAGGACAAACTTCTTGAACATGACCATTTATTTTCTTAATAAGACGACAAATCTTAAGTTAAGTCGTCGTCATATATCTAAAAGAAAAATATAAAAATTACGAACTAATTAGGCGTAGAAACGTTCCTAACATCGTAGGCTTAGTCCCTGTTACTGTTGTAAGGTAATGGAATAACGTTCAAAGGAACGGATTTCCTAAGCGTTATGGCCATCCGCTCAGTCATGTCCAAATCCTCAGGCTTAATCCCATCTGCCAGGGTCCAATCAAATGAATGTAGCAGCGACCCCAACGCCAAAGGCAGCACAAGAGAGGCAAGAGGAACAGCAGGACACATTCTCCGACCAGACCCGAATGGTATAAACCCAAAATGTTGTCCTTTATAGTCCATCTTGTTGTTCAGTTCCAGGAACCTTTCTGGCTTGAAAACTAATGGATCATCCCACGATTTGGGGTCTCGTCCAATTGCCCGAACATTCACTAGAATCTGTGTTTCTTTGGGGATTGTGTAGCCCAACATTTTGCAGGAGGCCATAGCCAAGTGAGGGACTAAGAAAGGGAGTGGTGGGTGAAGTCTTAATGTTTCCTTGATAACTGCTGTAAGGTATGGCAGATTTTCAATATCATTTTCTTCAACCTTCTTTCCAGGGCCTATAGTACTTCTCAATTCAGCTTGGAGTTTCTCGAGTTTCGTTGGATTGTGTAAAAGCTCAGACATAGCCCACTCTAAAGTGCTCGTGGTTGTATCAGTCGCTGCTGCAAACATTTCCTGATATACATATATGACAAGGAAACCAAGTTAGCTTTTTGCATGCGTAAAAGATTGAAATTAGGGCACGTTTATAGGAAAGTTATTGAAAATAGACTATAAAGCATGACACTTGAAAATAGACTATAAATTTATATTTAATACATTGTTAGTGTATAGATTTAATACACTATTAGTAAATCAGATGATATCATTTCATTAATTAATAATTAATAATCTTTAAAATAAATATACAAAAATTAAATTTTATAAAAAAATTTACTCATTAATAAGATAACATCATCTGATTTATTTTATTAATAAAATAATATCATCTAATTTATTGATAATATATAAAATCTATATATTAACGATACGTCTAATATAAATCATATTTTTATTATTGCATCTCATTATATTGTATTTTATTTTTAAAAAATTACTTAATTAGTCTATATGCATGCTTACATGTCAAAAGAAAATAAGTAATAATTACTTACTAAAACAATGCTATTGATAGTTGTGGAAGAAAAACTTGATGGCTCCTCTGTACCATCACCATGAAACTCCAAAAGCACATCCAGGTAATCTTTTCTCTTCTTCTTTTCATTACATCCATTTTCCATGCTTTCCATCCTTTCCTTGATGAACTCTCCCACAATTTGAAAGGCATGTTCAATATGAAACTGTGTTCTATGTTTAATACCTTGAGGGTCAAACCCTTTCAAAATTGGAAAGAAGTCTGCTACATTTGGCTTACCAGCGAACTCCATGAACTTTTTTGCATGGTAAAAAAAATTTGCACCTCTCTCCGATTTCGGATCCAATAAATCCTTTGAAAACATGAGATTACCAATGAGATTAAAAGCCAATAAGAAAAAGAATCTTCCGATATCGACGGCATGGGTTCCACAATTACTAGCATCTTCTATGAATTCCAGCATTTGATCTACGCAGTTTCTTCGTATGTCTTTCATGGCATCAAGACGGTTTCGGACGAAGAATTCCGTGGTGCATAAACGCCTCAACATCCGCCATTTTGAACCGTATTGAGCTGTAATAATAGACCCTTCATTGCCGTAATTCCCTTTCATGGACTCGTAAATTTTGCGGCCTGCAAGCTCCACGTCATGGTTCTTGAACATCTCACGAGCCACTTCTTCGGATGAGATGACCACGTAGCACATTGAACCGAGCCAAAGTGTCATGATGGGTCCATGTTGACGAGCCAATTTAGTGATAGACAAATGCGGTGGTTCCCGACTTAACTGGAAAATATTGCCAACCACTGGCCACCTTCTTGGCCCTGGTGGAAGCTGCCCAGCTGAGCCTTGGAAACGATGGAGCCAATTCACCATTGCACATGCAACCCATAAGATAGCCCCTGCAAATGCAATTAACCCAAATATTTCGAAATCCATTATTTTTTTTTTTGGTTAGCTTAATTATTTTATTTCATTGTTAAAGCAGGTTTCCCTTAATTTATAGCGTAGTGATCGTTGATAGCTAGTTTACGTTGGCTACAGTTATTTTTTAGATCTTAAACGTTGAAAATTTATCCTCTTTTGCCTTGGGGGACCGGAATTTTGGTGTTATATTTTAGTTGCACTTTGAAATTTAACAAGCAACTTGTATACTGATTTAGTTGACAATGCTTTTGCCAACTTTTGTTTTTTACAAAATATGTTGTAATATAAGAAAAGAAAAAGAAACTGCAGAATACTATATTTAAATATTAAATTTATTAGACGTAATATTTTAAAATAATTTTATAAATAAATTGATTTAATCTTGGAATTCTTTGTAAATTTTAATTTTTTTAATTAAAAAGGTATTGATGCAATAGGAGGCATTCTCTTGTACCAAAAACAATTAATTAGGTTATTTATTCAATACTTACTATGGAAAGCCGCCAGGGATTAGGCGAGACGACTGCAAATAATTAATGCTCTATATTGATCACTAATTTGCTATTCATGCAATGCACAAATTATTTTTACTTTAATTTGTGTAAAAATATAAATTAATATTATTTAATTCCTTATATTTTTAAAATATACATAAATTAAGTTATTATTCATGCGATGCGTAAATTATCTTTAATTATTTAAATGTGTATACACATATAAATTAACATTATTTAATCACTTATATGTTCAAGATATATATAAAATTAATATAATATAATTAAGATATTAAATCATCATAAATTAAAATTTTTTACTAAAAATTTAACAAATTTAAAAAATATGAAAATAATAGTTAAAGAATAATAAATATCCAAAAGATATTATAAATAAAAATATTGAGTACACCAACAAAATATTAAAATAAAAACTAATAATTTCATCACTTCAAATTAATTTTCTTCAATATGTATTATCTTCATCTTGTACAATCATTTTAAAGTACCTACAAATTTATATAATTTTAAGATAAATTTTGTTTATTTAAGATAAACAATAATTTTTAATGTTTAAACAATGTACTAAAAGCTTACTTTATTTCATAACCTACAATAATAACATCTTGTAGCAAGTGTGGTGTTTCCTTTATTTTATAGACGGGAAACGTGCTTACAGTTACAATAGTCTACACAATTCACCAACAGAAGTGAAAAAAATCAAGCCAACTAGATTTGAAAATTTTAATAATTAAAACTAAGCTCCTTTATATTAAGAAAAGTCAAGTTTTTCATGAGACAACTACCAAACAAAACCAAAACTAATAAATGTTAGAAAATAAACAATAATATGTAATCATTTGTTTCTAAGATCATTATTTCCAAACAATGCAGTTAATTTTTTTTTAGAGTAAAGAATGAAGTTAAATGTTAATCTACATGTTTGTTGATAAAAGGTTTCATGAAAACTACTTCACATATGCATCTATTCTCCTTTAGCACCCATATTTGAAAACAAAGAGTTCTATATATTTCGAAAAATAAAGATGCAAGTAAGCACTAAAGCAGAGTAATAAAATATCTACTTATCAATCATTCTTTGTATAAGATTAGTGCACGTAAAAATGGTGACATAGTATCATTGCATATGATATCGACACTTGAGGCTTGCAAGTAAATTTGTCAATCACCATATTATGAACATAAAACCTATTTTAGAAATTAAAGTAAATATCAAAAAACAAATTCAATGTAGATATTTGTAAGTTAAAAATAAAAAATATGTTATTAACACTTAAAAAAGAGAAGAATAAATGGCTTTGTGAATTGTAACTTTATACTTTGCAAAATATGAAGAAGTATACATTAAGGCAGAGGAAAAAAGCAAAGAAATATAATTAATTTTAAGAGTTTCTTAACTTTTTTGTTCTAATATGTCATATTTGATCAATTTGAATTTAAAAATAATCAAATAATAGAGGATTATTATGAAATCTCTAAAAATAAAAATTATATTTGAGAATTTGAAATTTAAAAGATATATATTTAAATTATCAAAAAAACCTTTTTTTAAATAATAGGAAATCCATTTTAAATATAATATATCAGTACATTTTAGTTTTTTTTAGATTTAAAAGGATATATAAATCTAGATTATTAATAAATATATTTTTAAAATAATATATTTTATATTTGAGATTTATTCTTTTCTTTTAAAAGATTTACTTGGGTGTTTTAAAATTTTTTTTATTCTATTAATGTTTTTTGTTTTTATTTCATTAGAAATATTATGATTTGGGTGGACATATGTAATTAAATTCTTCTATAAATAATCTAAATATATATTACTACAATTAGAATTGGTAACGGGTCGAGTTTGGACGAATTTATGCTCACTTCGAACCCAACTTGATTTTATAACCATAAAACCTGAACTTGACCAGACCTAAAATTTTTTATTATTTTTTATACCCAAACTCAAGCCAACCCGATATTGTATAATCCCGTATCCAACTCGACTCAAAATTAAGAAATTATTATTATTATTTAAATATAAATATATAATTATATATAAATAAAAAATTAAAAAATAATTTTTAATATAATACCTGGTCGGGTCGATACGAATTTGCTTAAAACCTGAATCCGATCCAAGCTTGATTTTTTTTAATAATACTTGACCTAAAACCAATTTAAAAAAAATAAAAACAATCATATGAGGTCGGGTCTGAACCAGTCGGACTCGAGTTGGATTGCTAATCTTATATACGATTGGACTTTTTAGATTTAAAAAGATAGATATATATTTAGATAATAAGAAAATTTATTCTAAACTATATTTCTACGTTTGAGATATTTAAATTTAAAAATATATTTTTTAGATTATTACGAAATTCATTTAAAATTTAAAAAGATAATATATTTAAATTAGATTTTATTGATAATAATATTATTATTTACAAATTTTGTTGGTAACAATATATTTAAATTATACATTTAAAAAAATATATTTAAAGATAATTATATATATTTAAAAATAAAAAATAATATTTAATTATTATTATCTAACGTATCATTCAAAAAAATTTTAAAGTCTTGAATTTGTATACAAAAACTTTTCTGTTATTAGTTGAAAGTAGCTTGATAATAGGCAAATAAGCATTAGATCAATATTTTTTTTCATAAAAATATATCAAGATTTAAATAAGCCTGATAAAAACCATTGAAATAGCAATATAATGTAATTAAAAGTTACTAATTAACTGAGAAAGAAAGAGAAACTAACCTAGAAAACAAAAGAATGATGTATTTTAAAACATAAGAACATGAAATGGCACATATAAAAAAATTTAAATTTAAAAAATGAAATTATATATCTAAATTAAAAAATAAATTTAAATTTAAATCAATATTTTTTTATAGATTACACCTAAAGATAGTTAGGAAGCAAATGTAGTTATGAAAAAAAAAGGGAAAGAAAAGAAAACAAATGGGTTTTCACATTACTTAAAAGTTCAACCTTATATAACTATTGGATTATATATGTGCTTTTGTGCCAATAAGTAAACAATCAAACAAAAAAAGGTCTGATAGGAATGAAAAATAAGAAAAGAAAGGAAAGAAGTGGGATTTAACATTAAGTAAAAATTTAACCTCATATGACTATTAGATTATATAAAAAGTTTATTATCATGTCAATCTTTTTCCTTTAAAGCAATTGAATAAAAATTTAATTAAATCATAAAAAAAAATTTGACACATCTTCACTATTATAATTGTGATCTAAATATTGAAAAGAATGAGAATATAAAAATATTATTATTTTTTGAAAAGAAAAAAATATATAATTAAATAATAAATTAGCTCATAATATTTACGTACCTTTATTTATATGATTTTAAAGAAATTTTTGAAAAAATATGAAAATAAAAAAGTAGTAAATGTGTGTCAAAGGAAAAATAATTAAAAATAAATATTATTTTTATAAAAACAAAACAATAAAAGTAATAATACGTTTCAAAAAGTTACAAATTAAAAAAAAAAAAAAAACTCTTCACCTCATTCTATTTATGGTGTAGGATGATAATTAGGATGTTTAAACTTTAAATTATTGATGAATATCTTTTGAATTTAAAAAAATATAATAAGTGATATTTGTGTTTTTTAATTTAAAAAAAAATTAATGACTAAAGGATTACAAAAAAGTTGTCAAAGTAAAAGTATCCATTCGAGAAATTTAAATTTAAAAAGAGACATCTCTAGGCAAAATTTTAATCAAATAAAATTAATTTTTTAAGTTTTATATCTTTATTACAATTTATTGAGATTTTTTATTTTTGAAAAAAAAATCATAGAGAATTAATCATAAATAATTTGGGTAAAAGTTTTATTTTTAAAAATGTTAATATTTGAATTAAGTATAGTCGATATTGTCCACATGTCAAAAAAAGATATGTCCATCTAAACATCCACGTGACAAATTTTATTAGGTATTATTGTATATTATAATATAATATTTATAGATATGATTACCTTTATTTTGATTTTTTTATTAATTAGTTATCATACATTAGGATTGAATTCTAGAATAAGATTAAGAAGTTTATCTATTTTTTTATAAAAAGATTAATTTTAAAATTGAAAACAAATATATTATATATAATGAGTTTGTATTTGAAATATTAACAGTAGAATTTTTTATATTTTATTATATTTGAAAAAATATGTATCATCTTATTAATTTTATTACTATAATCTAAAAACTATATCGTCAATGGGATGTGATGCAACTAATTAACGATTTCAAACTCTAACATCCAACATATAAGCTGCATAAATTAATTTGACTTTTACAATATATTTGGTGGCTTTTGGTTTTAGTTACTTAGAAAACTCTAAAATGAATTTAATTGGTTGGCTAATTACCCTAAAGGCATGCATTAATTAAAGCATAATTCCAACCATAATTTTGAATAAATCTTGAAGAAATTGATTTATTGATTGGCAATTAATAACAATTATATCAAGAGGTAAATCAATTTGACCAGCTGCAGGTAGACAATACTTCAAGTTGAACTTCTTGATAACAACGTTAATCATGGGAATTAGGTACATGGAAAGATTTAGAATATATATATAAAAAAAATTATAGGCTAATAACTGACTTTTTTTTCTCTATACCTTAAATATTACATTAACTGAGCATTTATATAAGAGATAAGTATACGAAAATATATACGAACAGTCATATTCACCATAATAATTTTATACATATATATGTATGTTGGACCACTATAATTAATTGTGTTGGACAATGAACGTATCCCTTATAGTATATACATTGAACCTTTAAAAGGTTGTTAGGCAAACCAGCCTTAATTTAATTAAACTAATTTAAGTTAATAAAAACATAATCAAATAATCACATAATTACATAAGAGATAATAATTTAATGTAATTCAGTTCAACTGACATATATACATAAATGAAAAAAATTCATTAATTATAAAGAATTATAAATATATAAAATATCAATATTCAATCTCAAATAATACCTATAAACATTTTAATTCTCTTCTAATTTTACGAAATATTTTTAATACGAACAAACATATATTCATATGCATCTATGGATTATATATATGTAGACCTTTTATTCTTTTTTAATCCACTTTAACATATACACCCATAATGTTCTTTTCAATCTCTTTAATTTGTCTATCTAACAAAACCCTATAATTTTTTTATATTTTTTTCTTATATCTAATCCTATTGAGACTCATTATTTATCAGCATACAAATTTATCTATCAATAATCATTTTCCTCTTGAAATTATTCTTCTACAAATCTTTTTGTCCATCAAATAATATTTAGCCAATCTTATATCGAATAAATTTATATCCAAATTTTTTATGGGATTTGAGTCAATCCCAACAATCTCTACTTTGTCTCTAATTTCATCAATTATCAATCTTTATGCTGGATATACTTAACTCCATTCAGCAATGAAAGTTTTGTAATAATTTTCTTTGTGTCTTTCCATACTTCACCCAAATTGATCTCTTAAAACACAAACTCGAACCCATCATTCAATCAAGTTTTTTAAAAGTTTGTCTCTTCCTATGTCTTAAATATTTTTTCTTAAATCAATTATGAGGCCAAGAAGTCAATTCAATTAAACAATAAAGTCAATAGAAACATAATCAAACAATCAATTAATCACATAATAGATAATAATTTAATATGATTTAATCTAATCAGCTTACGTCCACATATGAGAAAAAAAAATTCACTAGTTATAGAAAATTATAAATATATAAATCATCAATACTCAATTTCCAATAATACCCATAGACTTTGTTATTTTTCTTTAGTTTTATAGAATATTTTAACCAAAACAAATATATATCCATATGCACCAATGCATCATACTATGTAGACTCTCTTATTTTCCTCTAATCCATTTAAAAATATACACCCATAAGGATCTTCTCAGTTCTGTTGGGTGTGTTTATATCATAAAACCCTGTAATTCTCTTATATATTTTTTTCATATATAACTTAATAAAGATTTTCACTATTTATAAGCATATAAACTTACTTATCAAAAATATTTTTCCTTTTGAAAATTTTTTTCTATAAGTTTTTTTATCCATTAAGTAATATTTAACCAATTTCCTCTTAAATAAATCTCTATCCAATTTTTTTATGAAATTTGAGTAAATCCCAACAAAAGTCACATAGCAATCAAAAACGCTTTTTTTTTTCATAAAAATGATCATAATTTGAAAATAAAAAAATTATAAATATTAAGATTTGAGCGCTTAATTTATTGAATGCCACCTTTTAATAATAATCATATGAATCAATTGAATTAAATTTCAATTTTCTAAATAAATTATCTCTACTTAAAATTTTATAAGAACATAGCCATCCTCATCTTATGTGCAAGCCTAATTTTGTACCTAGAAAAGCAAACTTCCTATAATTTTTGGCAATGATGCCAAGATTGAGATGTTCTCCACAGTCATGTATATATGTTGAACATGTTCTTTTGAATCAGATCTTGATAATACAAATAAATTAAGCAATAAGGAGTGGAAAGAAAACATATATATATATTATTTATATATATTTTGTCAACAAGAATTGAACTGAGAATGTGGTTAAAAAGTTACAGCGATGAAAATTAGTTTTTATTGTGTAATAGTTATAAATTCAATTAATTTTTGAAGAATTAATTATACTTTTAATATTTGAAAATTTTATAAATATACATATATAAATTGATTCTTAAATATTAAAATATATAATTTATATTATAAACTTTCAAATTATATATCATCTTAATCCAAATTTTAATTTCATTACCCATATAAAACTTATATATATGGTGTTTTACAAATGTTATCAAATTATGTTGTTCATTACACATATGGTTAATGTATATCTTTCAATATAAATTAAAAATATATATTTTTTACTTAAAGCATGAAAATTGTTTAGGATCAATCATTATTGTTTATCATATGATATTTACATGAAGATTTTATAAAATATTTAACACTTTTATTTAACAAATAACATATATATAATAAAATTATATTGATTAAATGTTATACAAACAAATTAAATTAAAAATATTAAAATTTGAATTAAAATAATATATAATTTAAAATTTTAGATACTTAACATCTGACAAATCAACCAATTACATAATCTGCTTGGATAAAAGTTAAAAAAAAAAAAAAAATCTACCACTCTCCCAAATCCACACCTAATGATTCATTTATTTTAATTTGTTTGCTTTGAAATAATTTTTTTTGGATTATTTATCTAGATCATTTTATAAAGTTTTCATTTATTAAATTTTAATTATAATCTAAGAAAAATGTTTTAATCTTATAATTATTTATAAAATTTCAAAATCTTACCGAAAATTTGTTTGTATAAAATCTATAAATAGGCCATTAAAGTAGTGAGGCTGAATTATTAAATTTGGTACGGCCCAAAAGCCTCCACATGGGTCCTATAATGAAACTTCTGGATGGGCTCAGAAAACATTTCCCTGCCCAATTCATCCTTATGGTGGGCCCAAATGCAGCCACATGGGCCCTATTATGACACTTCGGTGGGCCCAGAAAAACCTTTCCCTGCCCAATTCATCACTCTAAGTCTCCAACCCATCAAAAACTCTACTTGAAAAAAGAAAAGGGAAAAGCACTTCCCAAACAAGCAGAAGCAAAAATGGCGATGGCGGCATCGAAGGGAGAGCTAGTTTACAAAATCTACAGAGCATTAACCTACGGTCTATCACCGTTGCTGCACCTTCACTTACAATGGCGGAAGCTCCGTGGGCTGGAGCACCCCCTCAGGTGGCGCGAACGCTTGGGCCTGCCTTCCCTCCCACGCCCCTCCGGCCCACTCCTCTGGTTCCACGCTGTCTCTTTAGGAGAAGGAATGGCCGCGATTCCCGTCATCAAATATTGCAGTCAACGGAGGCCAGATGTCAACATTCTGATGACAACGACGACGTTTTCTGCTTTGTAAGACATCCCCTTAAAATTTCTCTCTCTCTTTTTTTTTGGTTTTCTTTCAAACATTATTTTCGTTAAGAGTGCGTAGGCATTTGAATGTTTGCCACTTACTTTGTGCAGTGAAGTACTGAAAAATAGGCTTCCAGCTAATGTTATATATCAGGTTAGTTCTGTAGCACGTAAGTAATGTTGATTTACATGGAAGATTGATGCATGCAAAATCATGTTACTTTCATTGCAATTACAAACAGATGGTTGTTTATGAGAAATGGATTTCTTATTTTTGTAGTAAAACTTTCTAACTTCTTAACAGTTTGCTCCACTTGATACTCCTGCTGCCATGAATGCTTTCCTTGGGTATTGGAAGCCAAACGGGATTGTATTAATGGAGAGTGAATTATGGCCGAACCTTATAATGGGTGCTTCGAAACTTGGAGTAAGTTGTTTCCTACTTGGTGATGTATGTATGTACCACTTTTTTTCTGGACATCTCTTTGAGGGAAAAGAAAGTAACTCATCAGTTTGTTCACCTATCTATGCGTAAAATTTTAGTTTTTAATATCTATATGATTGCTGGATTATCTGAGAAAACAGGATGAATTTTGGACAAATGTTAAATCTACACCATTTGTCCATTTTTCTATTACAGAACATTCATCATGTGTGTTTTATGGTATTTTATTATGTTTTAGGTGTTTTAATACCGTATAACAGATGTGTTTTTATTTATTTATTGTTTCAGATTGGTTTGGCATTATTAAATGCTCGGTTGTCCGCAAAATCCTTTAGAAATTGGTCGAGACCAGTGCTTTTTCCTCTGATATCGCTTTTGTTGTCAAAATTTTCCTTGATTGCCCCGTTGGTATGTAATCCAGTATTTTTATATGCCTAAATCTGTCTTCCTTTGTCATGTCATTTATCAAAGAAAATATAATTTTATTGTTGTTATTAGTGCCCTTTTTACTTTAGAACCTTTTTTGTATGCCACAGAGCTCTGTCCAGGCAATTCATTTTCAGCTACTGCGGGCCCCACCTTTTAGCATACATTTTTCTGGTGATCTAAAATATGGTATGCTGATTAAATCTTTTCTTGGAATATCCTTGGTTATTGTTTTGCAGTTCTGCTCATATACTGAACCTCAAAGTTGTATCATAGACTAGATTTATTCTATTGTTAAATTGCCAATTCATTTGTCCTGTACTTGAATTTTTTTTTTGGATGAACTACTGTACTTGATATATAATTAGTACATGCAATGCAAAGAATAATTTCACAGTCACTGCAATGCCTTCTTCCATTCAGTTGTTACTATCTAGATTCCTTGTGTAAATATCCCTCAACTTTTTTCAGATAAAATGTTTTGTTAGCATTTAAGAAATTATTATAGTCTATCCTAATATGCTACTATTCTTTCTATTAGCGGTGAATGAACATGAACTTCTAGTGAAAGATGTCAGACATATAGAAGATATGCAAAAACAGCTTTCTCAAAAACGGGTTTGGATGGCTGCTTCAATTCACCATGGTGAAGAAGAAAGTCAGTTCTTGCTACTGTTGAAACTCTACTGTGATTGCTTGTTCTACTTGGGTTGTCATTTGCATTGTAAATTTATGGAAGACCTTAACTATGTGATATGATATGATAATGTCATATTGATAGAGTTGTTTTGAAAGGTTAGCATACCATAGTAAGTTTATGGATGATTATCATATGAAGGTGCTATGGAACTGATACTAAGATTAGCATTTTTTGTCTGATCTATCTGTGGCTACCTGCCTTTATCTTTGGCCGTTGGCTTTCATTGAATTCACATATTTGCTCCTATAACATGTTACTTTCATATTTACTTCAGTCACATGTTGGATAAGCATGGCTTCTGCAGGTAATTAATTTAATGCATACAATTGGACAATTTAATGAATCATTGTTATTTTACTTTTAGTTAATGTTTTTCCGGTGATTATGGGTTCATTCTGAGGCATTTATTACTTAAACTCCCTGGATCATCTTAGTTTTCTTCTCAAGTATCTAGAGTGAAAATCTACATGCTGTGAGTTATGCTTTTCTTAGACAAAGCACTAACAGACATTTGCTGCAGTAATGTTAGGAGTCCACAACATTCTCATGCAAACTCACCCTGACATTGTCACCATTATTGTGCCTCGACATCCACAACTTGGACAAGAGATTGCTGAAGTATGGTTCTGGTGCTTGCAAGTTTATTTTCCATCCAATACGATGATTCTCCTAGTTGATCTACTACGTGCTTGAAATATGGCCTCATTACTTTTATGCCTCTCACTCCATCTCACTTTTAAATTATCAATATTTATTTTATGACTCATCTTACATATTTGGTTTTGGAATGAGACATTGGTGGTTCAGAAATAGATAGCATGTGATAACTGCTGTTTACAATTTCCTAGGAGAATTAGTTACCTTATAAGTACTACAGTGCGAAGTTTATGACCCTTGATGTTAATTTATTGGTGATAAAACTTATTTCCTCTTCATTGCACTCATCCTCTTATGATAATTTAGCATCTTCAAAAGGCTTTCACATCATGCCTTTTCATTAGGGTGTTATTAAAGTTGAATTTCTCTTGCTATAAAATGGTCCATATAAAGGTTAGTTAACTTTCTATTTATAGTAATACTCTTATATCAAATGCAATAGTTTATAGTTAATTCGTGATTTCCAATTCATTGAAACTAATATCTTACCTAATATGGTAACCTTAAAGAGTGCTCTAAGGGCACTCATTAGCAAAACCATTAATTAATTTAGGAATTAGCTTCCCTTGAATGAGCAAGGATGTTTTTAGTGCATGGCTTCATGAATATATACTGGCTACCTTCATTTTCTTAGAATTATTAGGAAAGCTTGCTTTGATGATGCAGGAAATGCAAAAAGGAGGGCAAAATGTAGCTTTGAGGTCTCAACATGAAAAATTTATTCCAGGAACAAGCATATATGTGGTGGATACACTTGGTATACTACATCATCTTCTATTTCACTTTTTCTTGATTTTTTTCTATTTTAATTTTAGTTGAAATTCCTATTGGATTTTTACCATGAGCTTCCTTAGGTATTTAGTTAATCTTATTAAATATCACTCCAGCTTCCCAGCCTTTCGTTTGGGTTGTTTATTGTTTTACTTATACTGATTGCTATGTGATAAACAATGAATTATATCTGCAATCTGGGCTTAATGGTAACAAGATAACAAAGAACATATAAGAAATGAGAACATCTGTAGGATGTTGTGTAGAGTTTACTGAGCTAAAGTGAGAGAAAGTTGATTAGCATGATTATTACATCAAATTGGGGAATATACTTGTTTGTCAGCTCGAAGCAGCTTATCTGAATTCAACCCATTTATTGGAGGTAGTTTTAGTTTAAATTCGCAACACATCAATGTAACTAGTTTGTTAATACTTTGACTTGTGAAAACATTCAGAAATAGTTTAGGATAGATCCAAGAAAGCATAATTGGGCTTGTCAGATGAGGTTTATCATGATATATCTAGAATGGACAGGATTCTATGATATCAAGCCCATTGCATGCACTTTTGCCTGGCAGATACCAGCCTCTTTTACTGCCAGCATAAATTTTTCATTTTCCAGTTTTCAGCAGTTGAGTTGCATTACAATGAATAAAGATCTAAATTATCATAAACCTGTTGATGTTCTTGGACTTGAAAGCCTCATTTCCATTGCACTTCTTATGCAATTAAAATAACTTTGGAAATAGAGTTCTATCAAGCAATGCTGTTGTTAAATCATTTGTCTTGCCATGGGAAAACTTGATCTATAATGTTATTCTGTATTGCAGGTGAATTAAGGCAGTTGTATCAGTTGACCCCAATAGCTGTAATTGGAGGTTCTTTCCTCCCTGGTTTAGCTGGCCATAACATATCAGAAGCAGCTGCAGCTGGCTGTGCTGTTTTGACTGGTGAAAATTTGCGTCATGCACCTTGTTTGTTTCATCTGCCTCTTAATGTGTGCTTTTCAAGGTTTTTATTTTGTGATAATTTCAGGTCATCATGTTGGGCATTTCTCACATATGGTGAGAGAAATGCAGCAGTTAAATCCTTTGTCAGTAATGCAGGTATCTTTGCAAGTCAAACATTTTTGGAGGGATTTCTTGTTGAGACTCTTTCTGTATTGATTCTGCGAAGATGATAACATCTGTTATAACAATACAATAAGTGATTACCGTAATTTAAGCATTTAGTATATATAAAAGTAAAAGGTGTTTATGCATTTGCAGTTGTGCTTGATTTATCCTTTTTCTAAAAAAAGTTATATTGGCAAAGGGGGCATTCGGACTCAGGTCCTCCTTTTAGGCAGAATGGTGTGGTTATCACCAATCTATTCCTTAATACCTCCTTGATTCATCTTATTTTTAAGTCCATGTAGTCCTAGATCTCATTGGTTAAGTAGTAATTTGATTTCTCTATATCTGCTAGCGTTTTAAGTATGTTTTGGAGGTTATTCCTTATTGATGTTTCTTAGTGAATGATGTTAACAGTGTCTAGATTGGCAGATGATACTCCCCGAATTTGCTCACCTCTTTAGAGTCATTTGCCTTGAATCAGCTTAATTTGAATTAAATTTTTTAGGGATTATACTATGTCTCTAGGTTTAAAATTATGCACTTTGTTTGAAAATTTCAGTCAAATATTAATACCTTTTTCATTGGCAGCATGTGCTTTTTTAGGCCTTAGGTAAAATTATGTATAAGTTGACATAGTGATGTTTATTTTTGTGGCCAAACATTGAAGATTTTATTGTTGTTGATCTGCAGGTATCAGGGAAGTTAGAGCTTGAAAAGGCTCTAAGAGAGCTCTTTGATGATGGAAAGATTCTAGAATCACGACAGAAGGCTGCAAATGAAGCTTACCATGCTTTATCAAGTAGTGTTGTTGCCAATGCTTGGAATCTACTAAATTTCCATTTCTTGAGGCAGGATTTCATTTAGAAAATAAATCAAGACTGGCACACAACAAATATAAATATGACAGTGAAGCATTCACCTGCTTTAGCAACAGAGCACATCAAGGCATGTAGTCCCATTTTGTGAGTCCTATACTACCATTTGCTTTCTCACATGGTATATTGAATCTGGAAATCAACTTTTTATCCCAGAAAACATCGAAAATAATTGCTTCCAGTGCAGAGTTTGTGTTGAATTGAGCCTAAATACCTCTAAGATATAAAGACTTTTATGCTTGGTTCTTTATATTAATTTTATATATGGTATTCTCTCATTGTGTATCATTGAGGGGTTTTTTTTCTGTCTTTTTCATTTTTGGAAAAAAAATTCTTCATGCATAACTATATTAAATCCAAACCTGTAGAGGCAGTTTTTCTTTTCTTTGCTGTTTCTTCTTTCTATGTTATCCTTTTGCTGCTTTGTGCAACTCTCTGTGCGTGCTTATGCTTCAGGGTTGTTCCCAACGTTTATATGAATAAAATGTATATGCATAAAGTTGGAATAGCAAATACTTGTTTTGTCATAAACAGCTCAATAGCCAATATTTTATACATTCTTCATTAAGAATATAACTCTATGTGCATCATTAATTTAACAGCAAGAAATGATGATAACATTTGGAGAGATTTGGCAACTGCCTTAATTGTTGCACCCAATCTTTGCTGCTGTTTCTTTCGTTCTAGCTCATCTTTGTTACATGGAACCATGAAGAAGTGCACTCGTGTGCTCCATGAGCTTATACTGAGGTCTATGTTGTTAACATGCTAGGTTAATTGACAGACATCTGACCTGCCCACCATCCAACGAATGAATAATATCTCTGAAGAGACACTCATCACAAGGTATAACCAGAGGACCATCTTTATTAGGACCATAATCTTCATATACTTGATCTAGCAGGTGACGAAAAACTGGTTGGTTTAAGTAATCCGCCTTTATGATGAACCTCCTGCCAGCATCCCCAACAGTAACAGCTAAGTGACCAGGGGGGATATCCCTGGGAAGTTTCTTCTCACTGGATCCAGCAACTTTTCGCCAAACAAAGGACATCCATTTGAGTCTCATAATGTTACAAACATCACTTTTGGAATGATCTGTTGGAGGAGCCATGAAATGAGGTTCAGTTTTTCTTCTAGAAATTTGGATGTTTGTATATACATCCAATCACAGATCCTCTGCAGCATATACTTACATATGATAACCTGAAAAACAGCACAAATCTTTCATTCTTTTAGGAATCAGCCAAAGGCATGGCTTAGTGTTTCAATGAGTAATACTTGAATTTTGATATTATTTATAAAGCATTGAGATTGTGTTGCCTAGCGATTGTGGCAAATGTTAGGTCGTGAGGTTCTTCTGTCATGCCTGGCCTTTCATAAAAACTATAAATGATGTAATCGGTACCTGCCTAGGCACTCTCTTTGTCCCATGATTAGTTGCATATATTTATCATAAAGCAAGTAGGTGTATACAGCTGCCAAATTTTGGGAGAATTGCAGTTTATGACTATCTAGATAAAAAATGTTGGGTTTACAATTCAAAAGTAATCCAAATGCATGGTAACAGTGGCAGTTAGTCATTGTGAAAAACTAACCTGGTTAGCATCTGGGATGGGTACAAGTTATAGTGCCATGTCTTTATTTGTTTGCTAAGCTGGATATTAGGGACTGAGGTGGATGCTGTTCAGAATAAATTAGCTTTCAACTACTGAAAAATGAAAAGAAGAAATACTTCTCTCCTTTTGGCTAGAATGATGAGGATAATACCACCAGCATATGATCTTTTTATTCTTTGACCTTTTTTCAATGGAAAACAGTAATTAATTTTTTGATCTCGCGGTAGGCAGATTGATTGGTGTTGGTAGGTTTCAGCAGCTCTTGATGATGAAGATAGGTGCCTTGTAGAGTGGTGATATTGAATTGATAGTAAAAAATTATGCAGGCGCCGATCCTTAAGATCATTTACTTATAATTTGTGATGAATAAACTTCAGTGGTTTTTCAGGTGCCATGTTCAGAAGTTGTTAATGATGCTTGTGTGGAGTGACTTCTGGAGATCTATCAGCTTGTGCTTTGGTTCCTGTCTATACATCTATTGGGAGATCAGCATGTGAGTCATTTATACATGCTTCATTGCATTGTTTTTTATTTCTATGGTTATCAATTCTGCTTGAGGACCATTAACAGATAACAGATAACCAGAAAATACTTGAAAGTACATCTCAAACATGCTTGTTAGAACACTTGGAATTTTTTTTGAGCAGTTTCAACCATGTAGCCACAAATGATTGTGGAAGTCTGTCATTTAAGGCATTAAAGATACCAAAAAACATATTGTTCATTTTGTTACTTTACATTATTCAAATTCTATTATCTATTTTGCATTTTGTGATAATATTCATTTTTTTTTATTACAAAACTAAATCTTTGATACATTTACTAGCAATAAAGTACAAAAATGATGTCAATAGATTTTTCTATATATAGGGTGTAGACATTTAGTTATGTTTTAATTACATCCACTACCTACAATTAAACAAGACAATCTCAAAAGAGTTGTCCCATCTTTACTGTGAAACAAAAGTTAGGCTGCATATAGTTGCAATGCTTCTAAAATGTCTTCTTTGCTGTATGCTAGAACGTGGAAGTGTAGTCTGTTTTAAGGGGAAAGTGTTTCTTCTTCTTGACATGTCTTCATCAGTCTCTATGTTCACTTTCCAATCATAAATAATGCAAAAGATGGCATCATTGCTTAGAGAAAATAATTACAAGTATTTCTAGGAAATAGATCTAACTTTCTTGTGTACGTAACAAAACAAGTTAGGTATGAAACATTATTCATTCAATTTATTGAGAGATGTTAAGGAGTTCGAATAGTTTGAACGTGACACATTTAAGGTTCTGTTTAGTTGATACTTTTTGCTTTTTGTTTGTTATGCCCCTGGTTGCTTGATTAATATCTTGACCGTTAAATCAACATCTGTTAACCGTCCTGGTGATGATCACCTCAATTAGTCTTAACACTTAACCAATATCAGGTGAGTTAACTGTTCATGCCAGAATCAACCCACTACAAAAGGACAGGTCGGGACGCAGGTTTCCCATTATGAATTCTTCACACTTATTTCTTCTTGCTCTTATCTACTTCTTTACCTTCTTCTCTCTAACTTCCTACACGTATTGCACTTTGTTGACTTTAGCATCGAAATGCATCCTAGAGTTCAACTTTGGATGTACCCTGACCATTCCTTCTGTTACAAGTTACTCCAGCTTGCAAGTCAGCCACATGACCAGTCTTCCAGCAAGCATCCAGTCCCCAACCTAGAAAACCATTGACATTGTTATTTGTCTAGAGTTTTAGTTTTTTTTTTCTTTTTCTTTTGACTTTCTAATGATAAAAGCAAAAAGTACAAAGCATGAACCAAATAGGGCCTAATCTTTGTCTTGTGATGTTTTATTTTGTATTGTTCACACACTATATCATTATTTCTTTCTCCCCTATTTTCAGATTCATAACATTTAACACATTGATTTGTATCTATCATTAATGCTATCATTAACGTGTTTGCAGCATAATATGTTGGGTACCTTCCGTTGATGAAAACTTGGTGCTGGCAGACGGCACAAAGAAGGTGGTGTAGAAGTAATGATCTTTGTTTTCAAATTGTTGTTCAGGGTAGAGCAACTTGCCCATAAGGGCAAGGTACGGATAAGGTATTCGCTAATTTGTTACTTAATTACAACAATATAAACCTAACTAAATGTATAAAAACCCAAATACGGTACCTGAACCTGTTACCAACTAGGCTATTAATAGGAAATCGTAAATGATGAAATCAATGATGCTCTTTCACGGTTGTTTTTGTGGGCAAATTATTGGTTATTCATCCCTAACATTAGTGGACAATATAATTTTCAATTAGGTATGTGGCAATCAAGAAAATTTTGTTATTTGTTTCTCAAAAGAAGAAAAAATTCCTACGGAAATCAGAATGGAAGAAGCCAAATTTGGTGTCTTATAGAATGATCACATTCACATTTTCCTTTTCTGGTTGATTGGTGTAATCACCAAACATATTTGTGGAAGATTATGAATGAAAATTTCTCTTGGTTTATTAATTAGTGAATAAAGAGTTCCAAATTAGAAATCAGATTTTTAGTTTGAGAAATCAGATTCAAATTTAAACAGTTCCAAATTAGAAAAAAAAAAAAGACATTATCCAAATATTTGATTATGAATTAAATTCATCCCTAACATTAGGCCCTCACTGACAACCACGAGGAAAAAAACTGCTTGCCTCATGTAATCTAAAGGTAAAGCCAAGTGAAATTTTTATGACAAAACCTTCTGTTTTGGATTTATTTCAGCCCAGACATAGACTTCCAAAACATCCTAACATTTTTGGACCTTAGTTCCATTTTCCAATGACTCATGCAATCAAGAATAAAGGGAGATTTTGTATATTTTGTTATGAATTACTCTGTGATTTTGTTAAGGCTCATCGACTCATTCCAAGTTCCTGCGACACAGATTTGACGTAGTTTTATCAGGAAATGGTTAATAGTGAGTTAACAGGTTTCCTCCAACTGAAAGTTTTATTACACAAAATCAATGCAGAAACAGCTTTTGCTGATAAAAAAAGGGAATATTTGACTCTGCTACTAGCCTACTAGAGCTAGTGATCCATATTGCAAGCGGGACTATGAAGATTTGGGTGATTTTTGTATGCTTATGTTTTGATTTTTAACCCCATAAAACATAAAGACAAGAAATTTCCTGTTGACCAATATGTCTATACATGTTAATAGTAGTAGTATTTTATATTAAAACTAGAGGCAGATTTCTCAAGTGGCTAATTATGCGGTATTTCCCAGAGGTCATCAAACAAGAGATTAAATAAAATCACAAAAAAAAAAATTGGTGAGTTGACAGTGTATTGATTCGATTACATATCACGTGCACATAATATAATTTAGAAGATCAAGTATTAATAATATTGCTATTACTTTTCCAGACATGCGACCACAATTAGTTGAGAAAAGTTCATCTGCTGAGAAGGCACCGACAACACCGTATTGAGGCTCCTTTTGAACGTACGATGAAATTGATTGTAATAAAATTAAAAAAAATTTATTGTAATTGTGTTCGAAAAAAATTATTATAGTTATGATTGAAAAAATTATTTTAATAAAAATTTTATATTGATTTGATTTTAATAAAATTAATATTTAAATTTAATTAGTAATATGATGAATTTAATTATATCACGTATTGAAAATACGATTAAATCTAAACGTAACTAAATCTTTTATAGGAAATATAAAAGATCTTGAAAGTAGAAACGAGTCAAAGAGGAAAAACAGAAATGGAGATACAGTCCATATAATCACAGCAGGCAAGATAAGCAAATGGCATACATCAGTACAGGTTGAAGGCTAGAAATTGTTCATTGTCCTACTCCTTTGTCTTGGAAAATTGTGGTCAAGATTTGATGAAAAACTTGTGATAGGAGGGTTTTTGGGTTTTAAAGGTTAAAAGTGGTCTCTTCCCTTATCAAAAATTGTCAAACAGTTATGAATATTTTTTATTTTTAGATTAATTTTTTAATATGTATAATATCATATCAATTTAATTATATTATTATTTTATTTTATAAATTTCTCATTTATATTCTATTTTATTTTATTTTTTTTTTGTTCTTTTGATTTATTTTTTCTCGATTTTTGACTTAAACGTTAAAATACAAACACAAAAGACATATTCCACCTTTACTCTTAATCGCTCTCTCTCTCTTACATGATTTCAAGATTTTCACCTTCGGATAAATTAGGAGAATGAATTGGTTTTCCAGGGATGCATATACAGCTAATGGTCACTCAGAACTCAAGCTTATTTCCCCTGTAAAAGTACACATTGGTTTGGGTTTTCTTCAAGTAGAAAAACAGAAGCATTCAGTTTGGTTGGAGTATTTCTCTGTCAGATATGCTATCGATATCATCTTTCTTTTTCAAAGCCAAAACGTGAAACAATTCTATCTTTAATAACGGATTATTACTGGTCCCTGGAAATGGACAGGTAGTAACCATCAATACATTTCCAGATAGACCAGGCAAAGCGGCAAATACCAATCTCCAATCATTTGCATAGCAAAAAGGTAATTGATGGAGAAAAACTTTTCTAGCTACCAAATTCAGGGTCAAATTCAAACTACCGTGAAATGTGAACTCCAAAGCAACCGCTCAAACGGCAGCGTTTCCCCCTTAACCAACTGTACCAACCTTATAAAATCCTGTGTCTTTCCGACAACGATTTTTCTGGTTAAATCCCCCCCGCAAATCTCGCTGCTCAAACGGCTACTTCGCCTACACTTATCCGACAACAATAAACGTGGCAACAACCTGATGAAATCTCCTGTTTGAACCGGCTCTTTGCTCTGCGGCTCCACAACAATGCATTAACAGGCCAAATCCCAGATTTTTCTTCTTCAAAACCTTAGAAGAGCTTAATTTAACGAGCAATGAGATTTACGGGCGGTTACCGCAAAGTTTATTGAAGAAAATTCTGTGAACAAAGCTTTACTGGAAATGAATGGCTTTGTGGTCCAAGTCCATTGCCTGTTTGTTCCTTTACAGGGTCCCCACCGGTGGATTGATCGGCCCAGACAGTTCCATCGAAACCGAGTTCAGTACCGCAGACAGCAATCATCGGACAAGACAAGCCAAGGCACGTAAAGAGTTAAGCCCTGGCGCTATAGTTGCAATTATAGTAGCAAATTGTGTGGTGTTTTTGGTGGTGGTTTCTTTTGTTGTGGCTTATTACTGCAGAATCCACAAGAGAGAGAATGTTTGGAAAGCCGGCAGCCATAGTGGGAAAAGGAGGAGGAGTGGAAGCAGTTGCGGAAAAATAGTATCCTTTACCAACACGTCTTCGAGTGGAGGAAGAAGAACAGGCAGTGGATCTTCAGAAATGGATTCAATCAGTTGTTGAGGAAGAGTGGACAGCAGAAGTGTTTGATCAAGAACTTTTGAGGTACCGAAACATTGAAGAGGATCAATGCTTCATGTGGGGTTGGCCTGTATGTTTCCACAGCCAGAAAAGCAGCCTACAATGGCAGAAGTAGTTAAAATGATTGACACTATCAGGGTGGAACAGTATCCTTTAGGCAACCAAGATAGTTCTATTAAGTTTTTCCAAACCCAAACTCAATCTTGAAATGATTAATCTTTTCCACTCTGTTTGCATCCGATGGATTAATTCAGTTAGCTGGAAAGTTGTGAAGTGATATGCAAACAATTCCTCACCACCAATGAAAGCAGTACGATTCATCCCAATTCAGCCACTCCTGAGTGCATTACGCCAAGATAATCCTGTCTTGCCTTGTTAGTAGGCAATAGCCAAGTCATAACGTGCAACTAGTTTTAAGTATTCAAATGGAGAATGGCAATTCAGATCGTCATTGGCCTAAAAACCTGACTAGAACGAGGCCTTTTGACCAGCACGAAGTACCCGCAGGACAGGATTTATTTCTTACTAGAATCATTGAAAATGTCCATGATTTCTACCATCAACAGTTTTCCTCCTCCTCAAAACCAGCCAACCAACAAAAGAATTACGTGGTAGTGGAACAAAACTGCAGCATTTTATGCATTGCTCAAGCTTAAAAACTCATTATCATCATCTTCTCCTCAATATGGCAAAGGAATCTATCAATCTATTGACTTTTAAATCCCAACGCTCTTCAAAGAAGGAAGAGGTATTACAGAAATATTCACCAGTTGTCCTTGACTACCCTGGAGTGTCAAGTCACCTGTTGTTCAACTATACCTTTCAGCCTCATCAACGAACCTTGTAGAGGAACCATTGGGTTTTGGGGGCATTGGATTCTCACCGATGTTGCCTCTTGCTTCAAGCTAATTCTCCTATATAATCCGAAGGCAAAATTAATCTCCACCATCTTTCATGATGCGCACTCAATTCTACCATTTGGAACTTCTTGATAAGAACACAAGCTCCATCAATGGTTTTATTCCCTTCTGTTGGTTTATTGATACCATCCTGTCAGCACGTAAGAACCATTGCAAAGGATATCTAATGTCATTTGTACATGGTTTAGAATAGAGAAAATGGAAGTATTGCAGAATAAGAAATCACCATGCCTTGTTTATACATAAATGCTTCAAAAATACAGTTCAGAGAGATGTTTTTATGGCATCAGTTCGCCCTATTACTTATCGCAAACTCAGAATAAATAATTGTAGAAATTGTAAGCAATTAGAGAAATGCATCTTTAAATTTGCAAATAATAAAATTTCTGATACATGTTGCCAATAATAAGTTTCAGCTAGTGACAACATCCTATTTCTAATTCTGATCTAAGAGTATTATCAGTGAACTACAAATCTTACAGCATCACTTGTATTCTCGTAAATCGGTAATGGTACATTGTGGCAACCATCTCCCACAGCTGATGTTTCAATAAATTGATACTATTTCTAATAGATTTAAATACAATAGATATTGGCACCAAACAAAATATAGATTTTGAATGAAGCAATTAGCTATGAGAATAATCAGTTATTTGCATTGCAGGTTAACACCTGGTCTCCTGGTGTTACGGCAGCAGCATCTTCAAGTCAAGAATCCAACCAAGCCTCAGTTGTAGAAACACAGCAGCCGAATTTACAGGAACACTTGTTGTTACTGGAGTATATTAACAATATCTGACTTATGTCCATAGTCACAACAACTAGAAATGCATCTGATAAGGGTTTCTAGATCAGCTTGTCCTTCCATTTTGATCAATCAACGTACCAACTTGGTCCCCACATAATGCTTTCGAGATGTTTCCAGGCTGAAGAAGATTAAAGACCACAACTGTACCAAAGTAAATTGATTTAATTTGTATGGGATCAATCATCTGGTAATTAACATCAAAATGTAATCTGGGATATAAAAATTCTATTGGCAGCTATCCATAAAATTCAAAACATGGAATGCAAACATGAAGCACGATATTAAATCAGTTGGACCAGCAATTTTAGGAACTGTCAGAACTAATCCTCAGTAACTTTAATCTTTGTCAAATATAAGTCAAGGCAACAAGAAGACCAACCAGGAATGCCATTCTCTTCACAGTAGGTCAATGCCATCATGTCCATGGCTGTCGCACCACTAGAGACGAACTCTCTAAAGGAGATGTGCTCAAATGTAGCATTATTATATTGGGAGTGGCAGTCATGAACACCATCAACATTCACACCTTTAAGAACTGCTGCTGCATGAACTGAAGAGAAAGCAGACATGTCAAATGTAGAGAACCAAAAAAAAAAAAAAAGAAGAAAGTGTCTGCATATGCATTTACTCTGTGTCAGATGGAAGGGGAACAGAAAGAGAGTGTCATATAGTATAGGAGATTGAATTGTAAAAAAATGGGAAGAGACAGAGGCATACTTTCTGAAGCTCGAAGCGCTGCAGCTGTGTCAGAAGAAAAGAGTGGATTTCCAATGCCAGCGCCAATGCCACCAAATATTACAACTCTACCCTTTTCAAGATGACGTATGGCTCGTTGCCGACTGTATGGTTCTGCAACCTCTTGCACTGAAAATGCAGTTTGCACACGGGTCTGAACACCCATTTTCTCCAGTGATGATTGCAGTAGTATGGAATTCATCACAGACGCCATCATGCTGCAGTAAATTGCAGGGTCATGGTTTTGATTAGTTTCATAACAAGACATGAACATCTAAACATAGTGTATAAACATATTTATTTGGCAGCATCACAATCACCATAGTGCACTTGAAGGAACTAATTCCACTACAGATTCATCTAGAAGATATTCATGGGGTAATTTTCTTCAGATAGAAAAACAACATTTTTTTATATCAATCTTTGTGATTGTTGATTGTTCAATCCTCCTTGTACCGGTTGGATCTCCCTTTTCCAACACCGTATCCATGCCATCCTTTTAGCATCAGACACAACTCTGTACCCCTCAAGATAGCTGCCTAAAAAGGATTAGCAAATAACACTATGCTGGAAACCCAATCATAACTATCTACTACACATTTAACATCCATAAAAAGAATAATATGATGTTGCCATTGTCAGCCCATGAAGATTGAAAGTTCAGAAATAACAAATAGATTCATTAAGATCCTTTCTTGTGACCCACTCCATCATTATATTCTGTTTATTGGATATACCAAGCAACAGCTTCTGAGCATCAAGGCAGACATATTACATATACCACCCAATTAAATTCATTTCCAGAAACAACCAAAAAGTATCAGTGTATAGTCATACCCCGAGACCTACAAAACTATCAGAGTAGTGTCAATTTACAATATAATGGCAGCTATATGTCAGCAAGCTGTCTTACAAGTGTCACAATAGGCTTAAGCAATACTCTCTTTTTTATTTTTTCAAAATTAAACCAAAGTTGGTATGCAGATCAAAAAGAGTATCCTCCATTGTGAGTTAAGCAGTGACCACATTACCCAATTTGATATGCAGTACTTCTATCTAAACCAGTTGCTGCAACCCATGTGTCTCCGCAAAAGAAATTGCGACCTCCAACAACTATTGCTACCTGGAATCACCAAAATATGGCATGCTAAAAGGATGCAAACATCCCCAATGATAAGAGATAAAAGAAGTAATGATTACCTCTACACCTAGGTTGCACGCAATTGCAACTTCCCTAGCAATCAGCATTGCTACCTGATAATCAGAAAGAAACAGCTTATTAAAGAATTCAATATTTGACAGCAATATTATCCTAGTTTCTGACTATATATAAGAAACTCATGGTGAACCTTTGGGTCAATATTGTGAGGACCAGTGCAAGCAAGAGCAGCGCCACTAATTTTGAACACCACTCTACGCCATTTAGGACTTTTGGACTTCATGCTAATTATCTGACCTACGGGGCTTGATGTAGCTAAAGCATATCTGCTGATTAAAAAAAAATAAGGATATCGAATATCAGACAACCGCAATGGTATTTCCATCAATATAAAAGAACAAATACATAATTAGTCCATACATTACACACTAACATGACATTTACTAACAATCTAGGGCATCGAATATTTTCATTACAAGCCGATGTCAAGAACCAGTAAAAGATAGAACTCTTCAAGTACAAAACTAGTACAACAAAACAATATGATCAACAGAGACCCGCATTTCACTGAAACAACTAGCAAATATCATTCTCCAGTACTTTTAGCATCGTTTTCAATTTTGACAAATTTAAAACAAGTAAACAACTAGCAAACTCAAGAACAAAAGAGTGAAAATAAGAATGTTTTGCTCATATTTTTCCTGTTAAATTTTATGTTGATAATGGATTCTTTTAGACTAACATATCAACCATTTAATTTATTCCCTGGTAAAGCGACCGCCACAACACAGCAACCTAAAGAAATCAAGTGCAACATTAGCAAATAATAGCAAAATATACCTTTTGGGTTGTCTAACGGCAGTTCCTGGAGAAGCGCCGCCCCTATCTTCATCAGCCACAGTCTTTCCCGGCAGTGAATTTCCAACAATCTCCTCCATTTTCTTAAACCAAGGCCAATGACTCGCCGTGATGCCGCCATCACTCATCCTATGCCTTTCAAGCTTATACCTTTTCTTCAAATTATCAACCTTGTTCTTGCACTGCTCCACACTCTTACTCTGCTTCTCGCATCGCTCGCTAACCGCCGCCGCTACCTCCTCCCAATCTCTTCCTCTCAGATGGCCTCTGTTCAGCTGCGTCAACTTCTCCATATACGCCTGCAATAAACACCCAATTGCGGCGTCGCTCCATTCTTCTCTGTCTTTTCGGTACTCCGTCGTCGATTGCTTCGGTTTCTTCAAAACGCAGTCATTTATCTCTTCTTGATCTCTTCTCTTATCGATCCGTATATCAGAAGACGTAGCGTTATTGTTGTTGTTGTTGCTGCCGAAATCGGGGTCGCGGAAAGCGGAATCAGAGTCATCGTCAGCGTCGTGATTGTCAGGTGGAGGCGCGTGAATCTGCGCGTAAGTAGGGTGGTGGTGGGTAGGGTTAGTTTGGTGGTCGTCGAGGAGAGAGAAATCGTCGTCAACGGAAGAGGCCATAGGGGAACGTTAGGGTTAGGGTTGGTGGAAAGCGGAACGGAAGACGTTAGGGGAGGCTGGAGGGCCGTCGATGAGAGAGCGGGAGGGCGGATTGACGGAACATGATGGCCGTGACGGATAGAGACGGTTCCGTTAAGTAATGAAGGATAGTAGGAAAGGAATTGGCACGTGGGTAGGACCCGTGTGGGTGACTGTCGGCGTACGGCAGCATCTTTGGTTTTGCTTATGTTTGTGTTGGAAGGTCGTTGTTAGGTTTGGTTAGAATAGTTATATCTTATCATTCGTATGGTATAAAATGTTAACATTTTTATATTTATATTATATTTTATATAAAAATTAGATGTTAAAATTTATATCGATAAAAAATTTTTTTTTTAATTTTATTAAATTTATATAATTATATATAAAATTTTAAATCGTATTAATTTTTATATCTTTTATTTATATTATATTTCATATTTTAAATTATTAAGTCTACGATAGTGATGACAAAGATTAAGTCGAAGTGTATTTTTTTCATACTGACTTTATTCAATTTTATAAAATAAATATTTATTTTTTTATTTGATTTAATATTAAAATATTATTTTTTATGTTTGTTTTAATCTATGTATGTATAAAATCATAATCGATATTATTCAAAATTAATTTAATAATTTTAATTTAATATAATATTCATAAAATATTTTTTAATATGAATTATATCTTAATTATATATAAATATAATATTTTTATTAAGTTAATATCTTAAATTAAAATATTAGATAATAATTTTATTAATATGATATATATAAATATAAAATTAAATAAAAAAATATATATTGAGTCAAGTTAGGTTTATTTAAAATTTAACTTTGACCTTAATTTTTTTTTTTTAAACTCTATTGGATCTGAAACCTGATTTTAAAAAAATATCAATCTTATAGAGTCGAGTTCGATTAAAATTCAATGGATTCAAATATATTTATCAATCTTAAGTTAGATTTGATTTAATAAAATTAGACTCAAGATGGGTTTTTTTGTGGGACTTTCGTTTCGAAATAAAATCAATATTAAATTTAACAATTCGTATATTCGTATCATATAAAATATTAAAATTTATTTATTTATATTATATTTTATATAAAAATTACACGTTATAATTAATATTAATATAAAAATATAAAATATATATTTTTACTTTCATTAAACTTACATATAATTATTGATAAATTTTTAACTAAATTACTTTCATATTTTATTTTAATATTATATTTATATCATATTATTATATTATATTTTAAAATATCAAATCTAACTAGGATTATAGATAAAAGACTGAAGGCGCTTAATACACTTATCATGTATTCCAATATTTTATTTAACATGATCCACACGCTCACAAAAGGAGACATACAACATACATGGACAATAAATTTATTGTTTTAATGAAAGACAAAATATATCACTTGTTAAAATCATAACACTTATATAATTAATAAATCTATGCATATGATACTTCACTCTACAACTGGAACTTTTTTTTTTTTTTGTTTTTTAAGACAAATGGAACATTTCTTGTCCAGAATTTTTGTCATGGGAATTGACTTTGTCATCTACCAGTTAAAAAAAAAAAACATGTTTGTTGCCATGGAAATTCATGGGATTTGAGTTGATTTGATCATTCTAAAATTCGAGTTTGGGCCTAAACAACCTAATGAGCCCATCTCTAGATTCACAACTAAAAAACGTGCCCAACCAAACACCTCCCAACATCCACGCCCGTACAAAAAAGTAATACAGGACAGCACATAGAATTTGACCATTGGATGCTTCAGTTTCAGTTTCAGTTTAATTCTCCAAACATTTCCCTGATGGGATCCAACTGTCCACTTTTGGTCGTGTTCCAGAACGTCTGCAAGTCATCCCTGTTCCTTGCGAAAATCGGTATGCCCTACTCGCCCAAAAGCACGTGCCTGTATTCTCTACGAAAGTCCTTCCCACCTTCCCCGGTCTCCAAATGCCACTTCTCACTCCATCCACCCAATCAAAACCATTCGTTTCAACACGCGCTACGTGTTCGATTGGCAACGTGACATCGAGCTATCTCCTTCGCCAAGAAACTGTACGATAATATCACGTGTAATAAGAAAATGAAGGAAATAAAAATCGCCGAAGGAAAAAGCCATCTGATTTTGGTGAAACCAGGTTTACTGTGCTCCGGTCAATAGAAAGGATAAGTAATCAGAAGAAAAGTATATTCTTTTTATTCTAAGGTTTTTACAAAGGCAAAATTGTTTTTCTTCGTTTTTTAACGCCAGGGTTCTTGATCAAAAGATTCTCTATCAAGAAAAAAAGAAGGGCAATCGATTTTTTGTTTTTGTTTTAATCGGCAAAAAAAATGCAATCCAGTCATCTGCTTCTGGAAGAGCCAATCAGGATGGCTTCAATCCTGGAGCCATCGAAGGCTGTAAGTTTCACATTCATTTTTTCAAGTCAATCTGTTTGAGTTTTTATTTTTGCGGGAAGCTGATTGGAATCTGATTCGTTTGTCGTCTTTTTCAGAGTTTTTTTCCAGCAATGACAAAGATAGTGGGAACTTTAGGTCCGAAGTCTCGATCCGTGGAGGTTATTTCTGGTTGCCTTAAAGCTGGAATGTCCGGTACGGTATTTTCTGTCTCACTCTTTATTTATTTTTTTTAATTATTACTGTCATTGGAAATAAGTTTTTCTTTTTTTTTTTTTGGTTTGGCAGTGGCTAGGTTCGATTTCTCGTGGCGTGACCCGGAGTATCATCAAGAAACCTTAGAAAATTTGAAGACAGCCGTTAAGACTACTAAGAAGCTTTGTGCGGTATGTTCTTTGTATTTTGGTTTATTTTTGTTAGTTATATATACTTTTTGTTTGCTTACTGTTTGTTTGTTTCTTAGGAAAATTGTCTGCCTTAATGTAAACTTTGTGTTCAGCTCAAAAGAAAATGCTTTGCCATGTTTCTCTTTTTTATAAAATGGTTTTTGACGTTATTTTAGGACTTTTTTTGTGTGAATTTTGAAATTTTGCGCCTTACTCCAGATGAATGGAGTTGCCTGTTCCTGAATTTGGATTATGGCAAACAATGGGTAGTTTCCTTGTTACCTTAGTACAGATTGTTATTTGACTGCTTTTATGGGGATAATGGAACTAAAGAAAATGAAGTGATCTATTTGGTTTTTGGCTTTTTAGGTTATGTTGGATACAGTGGGTCCGGAGTTGCAGGTTGTTAATAAAATCGAAAAAGCCATCTCTCTACAGGAAAATGGTACCGTTATCTTGACACCAGACGAAGGACAAGAGGCCTCTTCAGAATTATTGCCCATCAATTTTGATGGATTATCAAAGGTTCAATGCCTAGTGCACTACCTTTCATTGCATTTTGTGTATCCCATGTTGTTTGCTCTGAGAAAGTATCTGCATGAGCCTTTGTTTTCTTCGCCTTTGGTTCTGAAGTTTAAAATATGGTGTGTTTTAGAATTTCTGATTCTATTGTGCATTCATGGCTTTATATACAGCTTTTCATTAATTAGGGGTTAGGAGGCATGTATTGGCTAGTGTAATGCTTATAGATTCTTGGTACAGTTAACTCAAAGGAATTCGTATTGCTGGTGGTTGCCCAGTTTCTTTGTGCAATCTTTCTGACAAACCATTCAATCTGGTTTTTGCAGGCAGTGAAGAAGGGAGACACTATTTTTATTGGTCAGTACCTGTTTACTGGGAGTGAAACCACATCCGTATGGCTGGAGGTAAGGAAAGCGGAACTAGAAATATGAAATATCTTTCTATTTGTGTTTTTGTTAAGATCTTTGCTGTTGTTTTACTACTTATTTGTTGGTTAATTGATTAAGGAACTTGAACTTTACAATTAGAATTCCTATGCACCTACGATTGCCTAAACTGTGAGTGAAATTATGCAGGTTAGTGAGATACAAGGAAATGATGTGGTTTGTGTGATAAAGAACTCTGCAACATTGACTGGGTCATTGTTCACGTTGCATGCCTCTCAAATTCGTATTGAGTTGCCTACCCTCTCTGATAGAGACAAGGAGGTAAGGTTGCCCTTGATTTTTAATAAGGGAGAAGTAATCTCTCTCGTAATAAGCTCTAGCTTGTTTTCCTGATATTTTTCACAGAATCCCATTTGTGACCCAGTGATACTTACTTCAGGTTATAAGTTCTTGGGGAGTTAAAAACAAAATCGACTTCCTCTCACTATCATACACTCGACATGCGGAAGATGTTCGCCATGTAAGTATCGCTTTTGCGTATCCTTATTTGAAGTTTCTATGGTTCTCTGATTGCTCTTTGATACTCTTTGTAGGCTCGTGAGTTCCTTTCAAAGTTGGGTGACCTCTCTCAGACACAAATTTTTGCTAAGATTGAGAACATAGAGGTGCTTTACATGTTGTATTTGCCGAGAACGATAAATATATAGGTTTCGATTACATATGCTATGACATTAATGTTTTTCATTCTTCAGGGATTAAACCATTTTGATGAGATCCTCCAGGAAGCAGATGGTATCATTCTTTCCCGTGGAAATTTGGGCATTGATCTCCCTCCTGAGAAGGTCGGTTTCGTAACTTGAACCAGCAGTCATTTGAGGGTCTTAAGGTTCTTATTATAAAATATGCAAGTCGTCTATATAAGTACTAGAGATCCAATTTGCAGAGGGCTGTGAATATGATGTATTAGTTTTTCTGCAAAATGTTTCTTGTTGAATGGATCGTGCAGTCTGTTCCATCATGTATAGCTTTACTTCATAAATGCTTATTAGCAACCTTGGATTGTTGGTCCTAGTTTTAAATGTATAATTTAGTTCGATATGTGGATATGGTGCCTCTTGTTGCCATTTTTTAGAGCTTGCCACTAATTGACTGTTCTTTTCCTTGCAGGTGTTCTTATTTCAAAAGGCTGCTCTGTACAAGTGTAACATGGCTGGAAAGCCTGCGGTGGTCACTCGTGTTGTGGACAGTATGACTGACAACTTGAGGCCAACTCGTGCTGAGGCAACTGATGTTGCCAATGCTGTTCTTGATGGTATATTACTATGCTCTATTTTGGACATTTGCTGCTTTGGACTTTGTTCGTTGATATATCTTTCAAATTGTTTATGATTGCATGCTATATGTGATGAGATTGAACTAATGTATGAAAATTCTTATATTTTGTTCGTTGGAGCTGGGAACTGACAAACTGTTTCTGACAAGGATATATCTTTTTTATTATTTAATGGTTATTATCCCTTACCTCATATCACCACAATACAGGACTTAAACCTTGTTTTTAATTTCCCATTTTCTGATGGCCGCAGGAAGTGATGCTATTCTTCTTGGTGCTGAGACCCTGCGTGGATTATACCCTGTTGAAACCATTTCTATTGTTGGCAAAATTTGTGCAGAGGTAAATTCTCTCTTATGTCTCGTAAATGTGCATAGTTGAATCTTTTGACGTATGCAGGTTCAACTGTCCTGAAACATTCTAGGTCTAGTATGGTTTTAACTGACAACTTTCAGGACTCTCTAATGTAGACAGTGTTTTTAACTTATTGCTGCTTGGTTGGGGCCTGGGCATCCATCTTTCAGTGGTTCGTAAGGGGGTAAAAGAATAATTCTCTTGTTCTGTTTGTCCTGGAAAGGCTATGTCCCTGTGGATTAATGAAGTATCCTTTGCAGGGATGAGAGTCATATTCATACTTGTTTCTCCAGTCAACTTATTGTCTTAGGCTATGGTTTTACTTGCTTTTTCAACTAAGGAAAGCCAAAATGACATAACCCTTTTAAAACTTGTTTTTCTTCTGGTTTTTCATTGGTGATGAACCCTCCTGTAGAAATTTGACTTTCTATCTTAGTAGCCATAAACCTAAGCATCTATGCTTATGCTAGAATGCATAATTCATGCATCAACTTTTGTTTGGAATTCGGACGCTTGATGTTTGTTGTTGCATATTGCATAATCCATGCATCAATACTCTTTATATTTGTTGTTTGCATGTAGCATCAACTTTTGGTTTGGAATTCAGACACTTTAAATGCCATGCATGTCAATGAGATTGTTCATTTTATGTTCTGGATATGTTAAAAGTAAAAAATTATGAATTTTTCTGTTCCATTTTCTTAGCATTTTCAATCCCAGTTTTTCATTTTTATTATAAATTTCATAGGCAGAGAAGGTATTCAACCAGGATCTATATTTCAAGAAGACTGTCAAATATGTTGGAGAGCCAATGACCCACTTGGAATCCATTGCTTCCTCTGCGGTGTTTATTCTTCCCAATGCTCTGCCCTTCTGTTTCATGTTTTTATTATTTTATCAAAGTGGCTTTTAGCAACTTTGGTTATAGCTAAAACTGAGCATGTACCTGCAAACGAGTCCCTGATAGGCTGAATATGTATCTGCAAATAAGTCTTTGATAGGCTGAATTTCCTGTTTAGGTACGAGCAGCAATTAAGGTGAAGGCATCAGTTATTATATGCTTCACATCCTCAGGGAGAGCTGCCAGGTATACCGCTGCTTTATGATCAATTTTAATTATATGTGAGCTGTTCTTTTCTTTTCCCTTCTCACCCCCAAGATTTACTTTCTTTTCCAGTTTTTTTTTTTAATTTTTCCCTTTTTTTTGGGGGGGTGGGGGGGTGGTGTTACCATGTTATTAATGGAAACTTGTCAAAAGTGTATTAATTTCATTACTGACATTCGACATTATGTAGTCCTTGATCCATTTATGGGTTTTCTGAATGTATTCCATGTATATACCAGATTGATTGCAAAGTACAGGCCAACAATGCCAGTTCTCTCAGTTGTTATCCCCCGGCTTAAGACAAATCAATTGAAGTGGAGCTTTAGTGGGGCCTTTGAGGTATGCCATTTATCCTGAATCCTGGATGTCTGAGTAATTGCTTAAAAGTTTCTGTTGTTGGTTTTATAGTCTTTGTTATAGTCCATGTCAACATGTCCCAAAAGTGTGAAAACACTCCTTAATTGTGTTAGTGTTAGTAAAATGCTAAATGGTTCCCTTGTTCTAGTTCAAATGGTTATATAGAAATTTTGTAACTTTCTTTTCTGTAAAAATTTCTTGAATTAGGAAATGATATTGTGTCATCTCGTCTTTTAAGCTCTTTGATGTGTTGATGTAGTAGAACTTGCTGGATGACCTGGTTGTTGATGGAATGCCATCTTGAGTTTTGTTTTCACTCGAATTTATGTCTTGGTGATTGACTCCACTGACATGGAAAAAGCTTCCTCTCTTTCTAATGCAATTTAATTTTGTCATCACTTTCAGAAGATTTGTTCTGTTTTATTAAGCTTGGTTTTACCGTTAAACCATTCATAACAGCTCTCAGTTTTTTACACGTGGTTAATAATGCCTTGCAGTATCATCTAAAAGAAGAATTTGTGGTATAATTCTGTTGCAGAAGTCGGGATATTTCTATTCTCAACTTTAATTTATATTGCTAGTTAATTTGTAGAAGTCGATAGTATGTTGATGGAATGTTTATCTCAGCTTATACACGTGTTGATCCTAATGGAACTATTTTAATTTTTGCGAATCCTTCAGGCTAGACAATCTCTCATTGTCAGAGGTCTTTTCCCTATGCTTGCTGATCCCCGACATCCTGTAAGTACAGCTCTATGTTCATTGTAACTCTGTTCTTCAGGTCTGAAAGAAACTTCAATGTTTGTACCTTTAGATTTTACTATCAGATCTTACGTTGTTCTGCTTCATTTTGCAGGCAGAGTCTACAAATGCAACAAATGAGTCAGTTTTGAAGGTTGCACTTGACCATGGGAAGGCTTCAGGAGTTGTAAAGTCACAAGATCGAGTTGTCGTTTGCCAGAAGGTAGGGGATGCTTCTGTCGTGAAGATTATCGAGCTGGAAGATTAAACTAAATCATTTTTGTCACTCTCTCCTGTGGGATTTTTGCGTTCTGATTTTTTAATGCGGTGAATGACTTTATTGGTGGCACCTGCGAGGCCTTGTTCTCCAGGTTTTGGTGAACGCATGGATTTGAAATGTATTAAGAATATACACGCTTTTAACAATCTTTTTCCAGCTTATCCGAAATGAATGCATGGAAAATATGGCCATGATCCCCATTTTTCAATTCATGTGAAGGTGAAGCACATCTTAATGGATTTGAAAAAAAAAATTGTCTTGATTTAGCAAATAAACATGGTGGATCGGTCGAGGCACGGTAAAACGCTATACACGCTGGAATTTGTGCTTTCTATTTTCGATTTAAACTGGGTTGACTACTTTATAAATAAAATGAAAAGAAATAAAGTCTCAACAAAAGCGCCTGTGGCCTAATGGATAAGGCGTTTGACTTCTAATCAAACGATTGTGGGTTCGAGTCCCATCAGGCGTGTTTTTCTCTTGCTATTTTATTATACATTATTGGATTTTTTTTCTCTTGCTATTTCTTCCTGGATTTTTTGCAAGACTTTCTCTTGTTATTTGTTATACATTATTGGATTACTTTTCTCTTGCTATGTCTTCCTGGATTTTCTGCAAGACAATATTGGATACAATTTTTTATCCCCACCATGTTTCTTTATTTTTTTCTATGTTCTCTCTTCATTAATTTTCCAAGATTTAACATATACTATTCTTTTTTTTTTTTCCTAATTCATTTATTTCTCGATTTCCGGAGTTTTAGACACCAAATATTCCTTGTCCTTCTGGATTTTCCGGGATTGGACACTAATGCGATTTTTGTTTTTTCTTCTTGTTTGTTTGCTGGAAACTGACTACGCTTCTGATTGGATTTTCAAGGAATTTTCGTCCTTGTTATAAGAAACTTTTAGTATGTTTTCCAGGGAGTTTTACAGTTTTACTACTGCTATATAAGTTTTTAACACATATACGCATTTTGTTCACAAAATTTTAAATTTTTTAAAAAATAATTAAAAAAAATGATATTAAAGAAAAATCTGTAAACTTTAGATTTTATTGATTTAAAAAATATAAAACTTTTTGTATTTGGTTTATAAAAATATTAAATTTATTAATAAAATAATTTATATTTGATGTATTATTAATATATAAATTTTATTGAATAATTTTATTTAATTAATAAAGTGAATCAGATCATGAGAACTCATTAATATGTAAATTTTTTAAAAAATAATTTTTTATATAAATATTTTAAAGATTGATATTTATTTATTAATAAAATAATATCGTATAATTTATTAACGGTATATAAAATTTATACATTAAAAATACATTAAATATAAACTCTTAATAAATTTTTTTATTATATTATCTTTAATAATTCTTGAATAACATGTGACATTCATAATATTAATATATAAATAATATATAATATGTAAATAACACATTATTTTTATTAAAATTAAATAATTTAAAAAATTAAATTTTTTATATTTTCATCAAATCTAATATATATATTATTCTTATTACTATTATAATGTTATCGTCCATACACAAAAAAAACACGTAGATCACTTTCACGATAAAGTTGATGTGGCGTTGGAAGGGATGGTAAACTTACCTTACTGGGATCTGAAACAAATTTTTTGTGTAATAATATTAAATAAATATATTTTAAATTTATATATAATAATATTAAATATTTTTTTTTATTTTTTATTTTTTATCAAAAATTATGTTTTTATATAAAAAAAAATCTTTTCAACAAAAATTATGTTTTTATTTTTAAAATATTTTTATTGAATTTTGAAAAATATAAATTTTATATTTTTAACAAAAATTACATTTTTATTTTTAAAATGTTTTTTCAACAAAATTATATTTTTATCTTATTTAATTTTGAAAACTATATATTTTTTCTTATTTTTAATAAAAACTACGTTTTTTATATAAAAAATATTGTCTTTATTAAATTTTAAAAAATATATTTTTCATGTTTTCAACAATGATTGTACTTTTATCTTAAACATATCTTTTTTTCAATAAAAATTAGGTTTTTTATCTTAAAAATATCATTTCTATTGGATTCTAGGAATTTGTTTTTCATATTTATAACAAAAAGTGTGTTTTATATTCAAAATATCATTTTTTCAACAAAAATTATATTTTTTTATCTTAAAAACGACATCTTTATTAAATTCTCAAAAATAAATTTTTTCATATTTTTAACAAAAATTGTACTTTTTATTTTAAAAGCCTCATTTTTTTAAATTATGAAAAATATTTTTTTTATCTTTTCAGCAAATATTGTGTTTTTAATTATAATTTTTGTGAAGATTCATTAGTACTATGTTAAAAAAATAATTTTCATTTAAAATATATTAAACAAAATTTATATTCATAATATTATATAAAAAATTATTATATTGTTAAGGTCGATTACTTTGAAAAAAAATTCTTTTTCCTTCTGAAATCTAAAAAAATTTCTTAAAAAATTAAATTTTTTTTATTTCCTTACTTTCCTACTTCTTAACATTGTTAAAAATCTTTGAAAACTACAATAATTATATTCTCATAAAAAATCAAATTATAAAAAATAAAATTTCAAAAAGAAAAATTACGAGGTTTCTTAGGATTCCAGAAAATTATTACATTTGTTTTGACACTGAAACCACCAAAAAAAAAAAAAAGTTTATTTTCCTATGCACATCGTCAACTTCTTTGGAACGAGTATTCATTATTTGGTAGTAAGCCAAAACCTTATTCACGATGCATACAAGATTGAAAAAGCGATATTTCGTGAACGAAATACGAAAGAACAAAAGCACAACAACCATTCATATAAAAGTATCTATCTGATCTAAAACTCTATCGAATGTGATCCCTATCATAAGTTACATTTTCATCCAGTGATGCTTGATGGGTCTCCCCTCTTGTTTGAAGAATGCTGCTGGGGCTGATTATGGTGCAGAAGCTCAACCAACTCCAACTCCTTCCGCCTAACAAGCAACACCATTCTCTCGTTTTCGAGCCGCCTTCGTTCATTCTCAAGCTTTGCTCTTTCCATTTCCCTTTCTTTTTTGCCACTGAATTTCATCCACTTGAGCCTTTGCTTCTCAAGCTCGAATGCTTGGTGTTGGTAACTGACTTGTTGCTCCTCCAATTGCATTAGCCTCATCTTCATCCAATGTTTCTTCTCGCAAGCACTCTTTGACCCGTCTTGTATCACATTCACAACTTCACAGCTCAATTGTTGTATCAATGGTGATAACGACATTGCAAATGGCACCTTTCTTGGCCTTTTATGTGAAGACTTTTCATCATTATCTTCATCATCTTCCTGAGCATGTCCACTTTGGCCTCTTGAGTAACCATCCATTGCCTCTTCATCATCATCATCCTCATCCTCCTCCTCATCATCATCAGAGTCATCATCTTCATCATCATCCTCTTCTTCACTGCCTACTTTAGCCAATTTCATAGCCTCGGCCTCGATTCTACCCAAATTGCCAGAAATTTGAGCATTATCTGATGAATGGAGGCATCGTTGTTGTTGAGCTTGATGGTGCTGAATCTGGGATGTCTCAATGGCCACCTCTGGTGAATGATTAGCACCACTGGCCCCAGCAGTTGCACCATGGCCACAACTATTATGATAAGCACACATTTCCCTGAAAAACAAGTGCTTAGAATTCAACAATTTTCTAACTTCTTCCTTCATTTTCGGGGACAAATCCATTGTATCAAGCAAGCTTTGATTCTCCACCACCCTACAGGCTGTTCCTTTACCAAGTATATCATTAACCCTCTTATACCTCTTATTCAAATCATTGAACTTGTCTTCACATTGTTGTGGTGAAACATAAAACCCTTTCTCCATCATAGCCCTCGAAACCGACTTCCATTTCCCTTTCTTTTGTAATAATCCACCAGCCTTTTTCTTGCCAGTAGGATCATTCCCTTCTGATCCAGCTTCATCACCAATATAATAAACTGCCATTATGAGTAGCTTAACCATGCTATCAGTCCATTTCATTCTTTGCCATGGAGAAAATTTTTTCTTAGCATCAGCAGCACAATCATCAGGAGGAAAACCAGGTTCATCTTCATCACTAAGAGGGGATAGTTGTTTGGTTTTGGAAGCAAAAGGGTAGCCTTGTTTAACAGATTGCTGGTGTTGTGAGTGGTCAGTTTCATGATGAGAATAAGCAATCATTTGTGGTTGATGAGGTAAATGATGTGGGTTTTGGTCACTTTGGGGGTTTTGAGGTGGTTGTTGTTGCTGTTGTTGTTGGGGCTGTAATGACATTTCAAGGCCCAACATTCCTGAACCAATCCCAGAAAACGTCCCACCAGGCAGACCACTAGTATCCATTCAGAACAACAATAAAAACAGCTCTTACAAGAATTATTGGAGATCTCAAATACTCTGTCTAGGTAAATGTCATTGGCTACTACTTTTTCACTTTTTCTGAATCCTTAACAACAGACAACAAAACATAAATTCCTAACAGGCAATTGTACAACTGTTAGAACTAAAAAAAGAACATACCCAGTTAAGAACAGACTATCATTGAGTTGTAACAATCACCAGGCACCTGAAAACTTCTTCTACACGAAAAAATAAAGTTGTGAGTGCCCTTTTTTAGAGTTTCAATAATGTAACAGAAAAAGAAAGCTGAAGAGAGTTAAAATGCAATAGACTGACAGATATAGAAAAGATAGGAAGAGACAAAAAAAAATAGTAAACAGAGAGCGGAGCAGCCGGTTTTAGTTTGGCAACAACGTTTAGTTTTTGGCGCTATGGCAGAAAAACTGGCCCATGGTTTTGCTTGTAACCGGCCATTTTTTATATATATAAAAAAAAAACCTTTGCAAACCCACAGGATTTTCAAAACTGGGCAGGGAATTGACTTCAATATTCCACATTATACCAATAAAATATTGCATTTTTAATCCAATTCCACAATAAATTTTTTTTTTCATTTTTTTCTCTTCTTTAACAAAAAAAAAAGCATTAATCATTCTAATTTTTTTAATTTTCAGTTACTGATTAAATATGACATTGTGTTTGTCTATATTATTTTTCTCTTTAAATTAGGTGCATTTTTATGATTTAAACATTATGTAGGCAAGTGTCAAACATGGTGCTTACTAAGAGTATTTAATGATAAAAAATAATATAGTGTTTTTTTTTAAGTTTTTAACAAATAATTAAAAATAATTTTGATATTTATATTAATTTTTAAGTTATTTGATATACGTCAATATCATATCAATTCGATATTATTTTTATTATTTTTTAATTATTTTTTATTTATAAATATAAAAATTTAAACACTTTGAAACAAGTTCATCGTGCTCCTAATTTTTTTTATTATTCACTTTATTATTTTATTTATTTTGATTTGATTATCCAAATGTAAATATAAAAAATATTTTTTATTTTTATTTTTTTCAAGAATATTTTGAGATCGAAGCTCACTATAAACAGTACTCATTTGATATTTTCGCAACTCATTAGAGGTGGAAAATAGAGTACGTGAAATTTTGCCCGTAATTTTAAAACATATGTATATCTTTAGACCACAATCTCCGGTCCTTACTTTATGGTAACGTGGAAACAAAGTTGACTACACCCTATTTAGTGGTGCAGGATTTTCATTTCAATTAAAATATGGTCTATTAGATTTGACTTTAAAATACTTGCCAACACAAATTTTAAAGTGCCCTGAGTTTAGTCTTTTTAACCAAGGAGTTTAGGATAAAAAAATAATAATAATTATAGGTGCTGGGAGCAAATTCCTCACCTCCTCTTTAGTTTGTAATCAAAGGGGAAGGGCTGAGTGGTTAATTAAATTTTAGAGCAGTCGATTGTCTGGATATAAAATTAAAATAAATTTTAAATGTAATTAAATGATTTTTAATAACAAATTATTTTAATATAAAATTAAATAATAATAATATTTTTAATTATGACAACCGGTTGTCTTAGAAAAGGCAATAGACTGTAACACCTAATATTATTTTTATTATTGAGTTTGTATTCGAATATTTATTTTTATTATTAATTTTAATTTTATAAATATAATATCTAATTTTATCATTAAAATATTTAATTTTACTATTTTCGTTATTTTCAATTTTATCTTATCCAAAATTTAATTTCTAGCCAAATTTATATTTTTTTAACCCTTAAATTTAATAGATTCCACAAATAAAATTAAATAATTTTTTTCTTTTTTTCACTTAGCTCTCTCATCTTTAGATCTGTTGAAATAAATTATTAAAAAAATATAAAACTTTTTAATTTTTTATGAGTGTAAATTAATCCCTCTCTAAAATATTTTCATAAGTTTAGTTTGGCTTATACTTTTGTTATTTATTTCTTTTTTTTATTTCTTTCAATATAAGTTAAAAAAACTAAAAATAAAAAATTAATAGCAAAAAAATCAATTATACAATGTAAAATGTTATAATTTTTTTGAAAATTTTATAATTATAATAAATATTACATCTATATAATCAATTAAATAATCAATTATTATATCATAATCAAATTACAATTATTGAATAATTAACTAATAAATTATAATATAACTAAACAACTAAATTTACATTCAGTAAAAATTAAATCAAAGACATTAAGGTTTAGCTTTTTTGTCACATTTATCTTTTTGTTTTAAAAGAATTGAAAAATAAGTAAATAAATAAAATATTTAAATTAAAAAGAAATTAAAAGAAAAAATTTTAAAGGATTGTTTGGATGAACGTTGAAATTAAAAATAATAATAATTATTATAATTATAATTAAAAAAATTTAATAATAAATTTATATTAAATAAATTTATTAATGTTTTATTTAAATTAAATTAATAATAATTAAAATTTAACTGCATCAGTGGCATCCACATATAGGCTAAGGCCAAATTTGATTTGGCAGCAACCAAAAGGTCCAGTCAAAATAATAATAATAATAATAATAATAAAAACATCACGGCATCCGGTGCCAAATGACAGCCGAAGATATTTATGGTCCAATCCAAGACTCATTCCTTTACTAAAAAGAGAAACTCGCAAACATTTTCCATCACTTTCTATCCCACCTCCCCCAAAACACATTTTCCCGGAAAAATACAAACAAACGAAAAAATGGTAGAAAACATCCGGAAAATTTCTCCCCCACCAACCGCTCCCCCTCCTCTCTTCACTCTTCCTACCACTCTAACTTAAAAAAAAAAAAAGAAACGCTTAAAAATTCACAGTGAATTTTATATATAGAAGCAAAAGAAAAAAATTAAGAAAGGGAAGAGAAGGGGATTGATGGGTGCGTCTCTATCAAACCTAACGGAAGGAACCAACGGGACGGCGATGGGACCGGGATTAGGGGACATACCGGAGAGCTGCGTGGCGTGCGTTTTCACGTACTTGACGCCGCCGGAGATTTGCAATCTGGCGAGGTTGAATCGTGCGTTTAGAGGGGCGTCGTCGTCGGATTCGGTTTGGGAACAGAAGTTACCCCGGAATTATCAAGGTCTGCTGGATTTGATGCCACCTGAAAGACACCAGAATTTGTCCAAAAAAGACATTTTTGCCCTTCTATCTCGCCCGATACCTTTTGAAGATGGAAATAAGGTGGGTAGTCATAAAATTTGTTTGTTTTTCTTCATTCTTTTTTGGTTAATTTGATTTTTGTTTTAAATGTGTTTCTGGGTGTTTGAGTTTTGGGTTCTTTGGGTTGTTTTATATATATATATAGTTGTTTGAGGGATTGAAAATGAAGGTTTTTGGTTTTTTTTTTTAATAACTTTCTGTTTAATTTAATATTTGCCTTAAAAATTTGTTTTTGGCTTTTTGAGTAAGTTTAAGATATTTGTTTAGGTAGGATTGGAATTGAGGATTCTGGGTAATTTAGGTGTCGGGTTAATGATTTTTTGATAAAATATTTAACAAATTTTGTTTGTGCTGGGTTTTCTTGGGTAGCGTTGTGAAGGAGGGTTTTTGGATTTTTTTTTTTTTTTGATGTTTTTCCTTTTGTTTTGCTTTAGCTGTTTTATTTTGAGTTAATAATAATCAGAGACGGATAAGAGAAGATTACTGATGGTTGAATATGGGGTGATGCAGGAAGTATGGCTGGACAGAGTGACAGGGAGGGTATGCATGGCAATATCTGCAAAAGGGATGGAAATTACTGGAATTGATGACCGAAGATATTGGAATTGGGTTTCTACTGAAGAATCTAGGTTAGATATTAATAATATCATCATATTTTGATGCTAAAGTTTCTAGTAGAATTTATATATTTTTACATTAACTTAATATGGGATCGAGATACTTGTATCTTGAAATGTTTCTAGCAAGGTTTTTAACCACCATGTCGGAATTCTGTATTGATTGCTTAGCATAAAATGGAATTAATTGATTATCGATTTTGCTTCTACATGGAGCATATAGATGGATTAAGCTACACATTTGTTGGAATGGGGCATTTTGTAAATTTTGTTTTCAACTGCATGTCTTATTTTTTCCTAGTGGAAGGAAATGCATTTGGGTGCTAGTTAATTGCTGCTTTCTAGGCTTTTTTGTTTGTTGATGTTTTCTTTATTCAAATGCTATTATGTGGAAAGGCTGAAACCTTGGAAAATTTTCATCTTTGTTGCTCATTCATTGTTAATGTCAAGATGATGATGGGATCTTTTACTTAACCTCGTCTAAAGATGATGCTTGTCTTGGTTGCCTCATTGTTAATCTCAAGGGATATTTGATGGGTTGGAAGAGGTGTATAAGGAAAGATAATTTGGTTGGATAGACTTGGATCTTGCAATAAGGAATTGGTGAGCCTTCACGAATGGCGATAGTGCTGTCTAGTGTAAGTTGACATTTGTCAAAATTTTGTAGGAAATTGAGATGTTTTATGTGTCTAGAGAACCTTGTATAGATGTTTATGTTTCCCATTATGATTGGTTTGTGTCATCATCTTATCTTTTTGAGGTTTGTCTATTTTGTTTAGGATTGCTATTTTGATGGTGAACCTCTTTTTTTAATTAACGAAGAAGCATATGGATGCTGATATGTTAAGCTTCCAATTTGTATTTCCCTTTCATGTGCTGCTTGCAAGGGTGCTTCCATGCTGGAAATGATGTTTCCCATTACAGCAGGATCAGAGATAATAAGCATTGATCGGTTACCCATACTGTGAAACAGAATACTAACTATTTTCCTACTTTCTTTCTGTCTTTTCTTAAGCATGCTACTTTTTTCCTTTTTAACATTTATTTTTGAGGAGTTGTGAGAAAAGATCGTCTTCTTCTCTTGCTTAGCACTCTTTGAAGGTTCATCTCTTCTATGGAAGTTTATGCATGCCTTTAGATAATTATATACTGTGCAAGTCTTTAACAACTAGGGTTGCTTTGTTCTTTCTAATAATTAGTATTCTAGAGTAATCTCTGACATGTTTTAAACTTCCTTTTACCCTACAGGGTATTGTGTTTCACTCTTGTTAATTTTAAGATTTTGCCCTCAGGAAATGGGATGATAGTCCTAAAACACAGGGTAGACTCAAATTTTGTTTTTGTTACATAACCATATTGACTCTTCCTGCTTCTTTATGTTTGTTTCCCATTCTTGAAGTATGCTAGAAGTTATTAAGGGATACCAGACGCTAAAAACATTCAAATATGAGAATTTGGGGACTTAGTGACCCTTAATTGAACCTTTTCTGCCATGGTTAACTATTTGGCAGAAATTGAAGGCTGTCAGATTTAAGGCCTGACCAATGTTTTGAATGTTATAGTTTCTTCAAGAAACTTCCTAACAAGCTTTTGCTTCAGTGGCAAGGCATGGTTAAGAATGTTTTGACTTAGAGAATAGCTTTGATTTTCGTAATATTAATCTTCTTAACTTCTGATGTATTCAAAAAATCCTACAATCAAAATCTATATAATTTTTAAATGAACTTTCTACTATACTAACTATTATTCCTAGCATTGTGATAAGGCAGGGTGGCTTCAGGTGCTGCAGTCTTTGTTCAGATTTTTATGCCATTGAATAAATTATTTTCCAGTTGTGCTGGCCAGTGGAACGTGTTGTTTTCAATTTTTTTCCCTCTCCAGCTTTCTTTGTTAGCAAATTTTAACAATTACCTCTATGTTGCTCTTCTTGCAGATTCCATGTTGTGGCCTATTTGCAGCAAATATGGTGGTTTGAAGTAGATGGAGTAGTAAAGTTCCCTCTTCCAGCTGATATCTATACTATCTCATTCAGGCTTCACCTTGGAAAATTTTCCAAAAGGTTGGGAAGACGGGTGTCTAGTTTTGAACATGCCCATGGTTGGGACATAAAGCCTGTAAGATTTCAGTTGTCTACTGCTGATGGTCAGCTAGCGTCATGTGAGCACTTTTTGGATGATACTGAACAAGATTATGAAAATGGAAACCATAAGCGTGGATGCTGGATAGAGTACATGGTAGGGGAGTTTATAGTCAGTGACTCAGAACCAGCAACCGAACTCAGATTTTCCATGAAACAGATAGATTGCACACATTCTAAAGGAGGGCTTTGTGTAGATTCTGTATTTATTATCCCCACTGACCTAAAAGAGTGTAAAAGAAGAGGAATTTTGAAATAGCCATAAACACATCAGAGTTGTTTGATATCATCAATGATCCCTGGAAATTCCTTATGGGGTTTCACCTAAAGCTTATACTTCTAAAGGCATTTGCTGTTTTAGAGGATATCATCTTAATTGGTTTTTGGAGTAGTTTTGTGTCCTCTATGGTTATGTAAGTTTCACTTCCATGTATTTGATCCAGTTTTGTTTCCTTTTACACCTTTGCTGATAAAATTAAGAGATTATTCTTGTTTATCATCTTGTTTTCACCGGCGCTTTCTGTTAAAATTTTTTGAACTTAGTTGTGATGCAAATGAGGTACAATTCCAAATTTTTTCTTAAATCTTATCAGCCCAGTTTTATTCCCTTTATTGTTTCATTATGTTTTTAGAAAAGCTTCATTGGGCTAGGAGAAGCTTTGCTTGCTTTCTTCTGATCTCTATGAACTTTTAACTGTTGCAATAAAGTTGTGAAATTATTTTCTCTAGTTATCACCATAATGAGTGTTTGTATTAATTATGAAATTCATGGCATCTGGACCACAGATGTGGTTGTTTAGGTGGTGGATCATATCCAGGTTCACTGCTTTCATTAAGTGTTCTTGCAATACTGATTGTGAAACTGTTACATGAACTATGCCCTGTGGGTCTGCCTTGCCCATTCTCTTTGGAAAATCAGCTCTATTCAGGTTGGTATGGTTGGTTAAACCAAGGGCAACCATAGCTTATACTTGTTGATATATTGTAAATTGTAATAGACTAACTCACTGAGGTTCGGTTGGTTTACCCATGAACTCACATACTTGAATGACATGGTCAAAATCATCGTATGCTCGTTATCCTTTCAGCGTGTCTTGCTATTCCGCTTGCTTTCTTCCCTGGTTTTTAGTTATCCAAGAACTTATGCATTGATATTTCTTTTCCCAAAACTGTAGGCGATATGTGGACTTCATTTGCTTATGATTAATTTCCTTAATTGACGATTTGGCATTTAGATAGCAATTTGCATCCTGAATTCGTTGATTCTGTTTTCATTTGATTTGCATATTGTATTAGAAAATTTTGACAGAAGAAAACAAAATTTCACTACCTGGGGCCCTCATAGTTTGAGTTAGCTTGTTTTTTGTAGGTAGGTGGTCCAGTTTTGATCTTTGAACATTATTGGTTCGTTCTAAAGTTGTTATAAGATGAGGCTGAAGTAAGCTGCATTCCTAGTTGAAGCACTGACCTTAGGTTGATAGTCCTCGTCTTACAGCTGTGAGCAACATGAAAGAGGTTCATGTTAGGCTAGACCCCCAGGAAGAAGTATTGGCTGCTTGAAACACAGTTCGTGTAGTAAAGCATGTTTCTTATTGAGCACCAAACCAGATGTTTGAAGTTTGCACTTATGAAATGATTGTTTGCTTTCTTCCCCTCCCCTTTTTGTTTGAAACAAAATAATTGATTACGCGTTATTTTCCGTTAAGATTACGACTTTTTAGCAGAAATGAAGACTTATCATCTTGCTTTAAAGACATTAATTCTACATTTGTGATTGTAATTAGGTTGCCCTTGTTTGTCGTTTTATTTCATTTGAACCTTATTGTCACTCCAAGTTAATTCTTGAACCAGCTGGTTTAATGTTGTACTTCTGTTTGAACTAGTCCTTTATGTTTCAGTTGCAGGAACTGAACAACGTTCTCTTTCCACATGGGGTCCTTTTCTTCCCATTTATTACTTGGTTTTCATTTAGCTTAACATTTAGACATTGGTCCACATTCGGCATCGCCACCCTAATGTTCTTGTCCTTTTCTCATGCCGTCGTCCGTGAATTACCCCTCATAGGTTCATGTGTTAAATGTTGCCTAAATCTGGACCACTGGCAGATTCATGACTGTGTAACCTAGACAGCGGCTTACCACCTTATTTCAGATTTGTTAGATGTTATTTTTTAAAGGTAGCTATATGAATTAATTAAGTCAAACTCGAGTTAAGTATGTTAGAATTGAACTGATTTCTTTCATGCTTCGCCAACATGTTGATGTTACCTAGAATTTTATTAGATGAACAGTTTCAAAACTTGATTCAAATATCTTGCATATTATCGAAATGTCCGTATCTCAACGTCTTAGTTGTCATACTTTGAGAATTTTGGTTGTCTCTTAATTAAAGTTTGCTTGAAATACAAAGCTTAGCTCTTTAATGGCTGCCATCAGATTGATCATTTTTTCAGCTTCCCAAGCCATCAACTAGACGTCTAAATTTTACGGCTATAAATTCAATTAGGTCCTCTGTACTTTTAAGCTTTTAGAGACAGTCGTTCTCTAGTTCTTTATCCCAACCAAAAAGATTCACGCACTTTTTAATTAATGTTTGTGAACTATTACAACGAATCACCCCAATCTGATTTTGCAAGAACAAAGTTAGCTTATGTAGCTCGGTACAAAGAAAAAGCTGGTCCAAGTTAACATTAATGTCCACATCTCTTAGGAATCGATGCACTTCTAGTTGCATGGCCATTTTTTTTTTATTACAAAAAATTTATAATAGATAAATTGTTCAATTTTTTACTTCAAAATAAGATATATTGTATCTGATAATTTAAGATAAATGATTATAAGTTATGTATTCAAGATAATTTTAATAAATGATCATCGATAAAATTTAAATTTAAAATATTTTCATAAAAAAAAAATAAATCTTAACTAAATGAACCAACATTTGACGATTATTATGATTTTTATATTTCTCTTACAAATGTCAAGTTTTTTTCATCAAGTGTGTTAGTAATATAAATATTTGATTGGAGCTTATATTACTTTTACAATCTCAAATATTTAAAACTTATAAATTTTAAATAAAATATGATAATATAATAAAAAAATATGAAAATAATATCAATTAAACTTTAGATATAAAATATTTTTGAATTTGAAAAAAAAATTGAAATTATATCTTTTATTTAAATTTATTGATACAAAATATGATATAATAATTTTAATATTTTATCATATCGATTTTAAAGTACTTGAAAATATTATAGCAATGAAAAGCACTTGATTGCCGTTTCAACTTTCATGTTCTCCGACGCTACTACATTCTTTACCTCTTTAAGGTCTTTGACTGTTGGGTCTGATTTGATTCTTTTGAGCTTGGATGAGGGTGGTCAAGGACCTAACATAGAAACTACTGTTAAGGAATTGTCTGGGCTTTGAAGTAAATGAAAAACTATTTCAGGGGTTGGGTTTTTTTCTAGTTTTTTTTTTTTTTTTTTTTTTTCAGGCTTCAATGTTTTTCATGCGTGTGTCAAAAATCAAAATGATGTAGGAATCACTAGTTTCAGACTGAGATGTTTCAGTAGAATTTCAGAGGTCGATGGTGAAAAGGAAACATTGGGATCAGGGACGGACGTACACAGTAGTCAGAATGGCAGCTGCCTCCGCTGAGTTTCTAAAATTTTTTTAGGTTTATTGAAAAAAAATTTCAAAAGTTTTAAAAATTTAAAATTTGACCCTCATTAAAAATATTGTTCTCCAATTTAGCCCCACTAAATTAAAACTCATACAAGAAAATATTTTATTGTTTATCTAATAATTGAACAATGATTCTTTTGAACGCTAAACAATTTTGTTATAATATATATTTATATATATAAGTTCATAAAAAAAAAGTAAATTACTATAGAAAATTTGAAATTATTAAATTTCATATTCCTCTTAATAATTTATTTAAAATTGATATAAGATGATCTTATAAGAGTAGTGAAACTTAGAGCTTGTATTAAAATGGTTTTAACCATTTCTTTAACACAAAATATATATATATATAATATGTGAAGTAATTAAAAAAACTATTTAAATTTATATCTTCATTTTTCTTTTCATTGTAAGAAAAAAAGATATTTTTATTTTTTCAAATTATAATGAATAAAAAATAAAATATGTTTGTCCATTTGAAGTAAATGATAAAATTAGACATATTAAAAGTGAACAATAAAATTAGATGTATTAATTTTTATATTATTCTTTCACATATTATTTCAACCTTAAGAATTTTATAAATAAAATTTTATTAAATTAATATATGTGTTTTTATATTGAAAGTTGATTTGTTTAAATAGTATTTAGGTTATATTTATTAAGAATCATATAATTAATTTTAACTATACAAACATTAGTTTTATGGTAAAAAAATTTTTTTCGTGTACATAAAATATGTTATTCATCTTAGTTTTATTTATAATTTTTTATATTAATTTATGTTTAAATGAAAAAATTTAAATTAATTTAAAAATATTTATTCTCATTACTCATAAATTCTGGATTCGTGCCTCATTGGGATGATAGTACTCATCATCCAATGAATGAAGAAAAGTTAAAATGCTGGCTAGAGAGCTTTAATGGCTGTACCTCTGAAGTTCAACTTTGGAGCCTATTAGCATGTAGCTTACTGACATATCTGCTGTTTATGAAAGATTTTTCATTTTTAAAATTTAAAAATGACTATCGAGGTAAAAAGATTACAAATATGTATCAAATTGAAATTAAAATCTTTGGATTGATCTTATTTTTTTAATAATATAAATGAGCACTGTGGATTCTGAATGAGATAAGTTCCCATTTGGTTTTTTAAGACAACAAGCGTCAGCTTTATCAGTTTGATTTTTTTTTTTCTTGGTGCATATATATATAATGTACATGTGCTGTTTTCTGGAGTTCAATGCTTCATTTGGTTGGAGGCAAAATCAATTGTCAGGGATAGTTGAGAAAGAGTGAGAACAACAGAAAAAAAAATTATATGCAAGTATTAATCTGAGGTTGTGACTTTAGTATTAGAGATTAAATTGTTTTTTAAGAATAAACTTCACGATTTATATACGTATTGTATAAATATAAAATATATTTTTTTAATTTTATTAAATTTAAATATAATTATTATTTAAATTTTAAATCATGAATTATATTAGGGTATCATCACATTGTATTTTGGATTATTAGATGTACTTGATTTATTTTTTTTTGGTTCTTTGTATAAATGAAAAAGTTCTTGTGCCTCATTTTGGGGAAAATTACAAGTTTCTTTCAATTTGAACAAGCAAAAAGGACTGAACAGAAGCATTTAAAGCACAAATCCATATGTTTTAACTCTGTTAAACTTGTTTATATATATGGCTCTCTTAGTATTATATCTTATTTATATAATTAATAGGGAAGAAAGGGACAATTCTGTCTCATCTCTTTCAGTATTTTGGGATCAATGGTATCATATACTGATATACATCTCTTCTTACCGTTAAAGTCCTTCACGTTTTTGTTTTGGGAAAGATTCTCTTTTCTGTCTATCCGTCTGAGCTGATCATAGCTAGGCCTGACCCCGCACAATTCATTCAATTCAATGGCAGGAAGACTATTCAACAAATCCAAGCCAAACCATCAGGACAAAAGTACAAAGAGAGAAAAGGAGACAGGTTTCTTCTTTCTCATTGCAAAGTTGATTTGGGTGCAGGGAGGGTGAGCCCACTCTTCTTTTTTAAAATTTTTCCTGCTTTGGTTTGTGTTTTATTGTTGTATGCATGCAGTGAGAGGTGGCAGATTTTTGTGAACTGATGTTATCCCACCTCCTTATAAGGTTAGGACAAAATTTATATAAAATTATATAGATAAAATTTGTAAAAAATTTTATTAATAATAAATAATTTAAATCGACAGATCAATAGAATTAATGTAAAGATTGATAATTTATAAAAAAATATTAAAAATATTATTTATAATTTAAATTTGATCGATATTTATTCAGTAATAAAAATTTTGTTAATATTTTTGCTAAAAATACTTATTTAATAAATATATCAAAATTTATTAAAAAATTTTCAAATTTTACTCGATTAATTTTCATTTTAATTTTTAATTTTAATTTTTATTTATTCATTGAAACTTCGTCAAGTTCATCTATATTATGTCCTCATTTTGCCCTTCCAGTTTTCACCAGTATTTTCTCTTACAACTCTCTCTATGCTATTAATACCACCTCCTTATAAGCAACATCTAAATTTAATAATATTCAAAGATAAAGATTACAGAATGAAAAAGGAAGAAAGGGAGGGAGTAGAGGTGAATATGGTGGGGAAGAGTCAGGACAAGGCGTGAGAAAGCCAAGGCATAATGTCAATTTCATAGAGGCAGGTTTCTGGGACCAGATGGAGACCTATGTCTGTCTAACTAACCGACAAAAGTCCAGCTATCTCTGTCTTTCTCTCCCTTTAAATCTAAACATTAAACTTTGTTGCATCCCCAAAAATGAAGTAGAGAAAACCCTTACAGTGTTTTCTGCCCTTCTCACGCATTCACTTTGTTGCACCCCAAAAGACAAGTATAGAGAAGAAAGGAAACCCTTTGATATATTCCCAAGAGAGGAAGTCTTTGAGATACTGATAAATTTTGGTTGGATTTGAAGGGAAAGGAGGGGGAGAGAGACACAAGTAAAAAATGGATTGGAATGGCACATTACGAACCTTTGTTTCTCGACCAGAACCTTCTCTTAACTTCCTCTACAACTATAACTATGATCAATATCCAGGTATAGTCCCTCCCCTCAATCACCATTCTGTCTTTTATTTTTCTTTCATTTTCTTCATGTGTTTGGAAGCAGCTTTCAACAAAGTAACAAGAATTCAATTCAAGCTACAACCTTCCCATGCTAAATTTTGAACTGTTTCTTTCTTTCCATCTATATTTATTTGCTAAGTTACACAATCCTAATTATGCTTTGATATCTGCTGCTTCTTCTTGTAAGGTATGGAGATGAAGCATCCAGGATTAGCAGAGGCAGCTCATGGGTTGGCTCCAGCCTTGGACAAGAACAGCTACAACAATAAAAGGAAGAAGAAGCGTTTGACAAATGGTCAGTTAGACTCCTTGGAGAGGAGTTTCCAGGAAGAGATCAAGTTGGAGCCTGATAGGAAAATGAAGCTTTCCAGGGATCTTGGACTCCAACCAAGGCAAATTGCTGTCTGGTTCCAAAACAGGCGTGCTAGATGGAAAGCTAAGCAGCTTGAGCGCTTATATGATGCTCTTAAACAGGAGTTTGATGTTATCTCCAGGGAAAAGAATAAGCTTCAAGACGAGGTTAGAAAAGATTTTCAAAACTCTCTCTTTCCATGCATGATTCATGCACAGTTTTGGGAGCATTTGGTGTACATCATTATATATACTTTGTTTTTCTCTTTCTATGGAAATACAGATTTCTTAAATAAGCTGAGAAAGAAATAAATATTGAATGCTTGCACTCACTATAATTTCCATTTGCCCTCACCCCCTGATGCAGGTCATGAAATTGAAAGGTATGCTCCGGGAACAGGCGAAAAGAAACCAAGTCTCCACAGGTTACACAGAAATCTCCGGGGAAGAGACCGTCGAAAGCACCTCAATTCGCAGCTATAACAAGCCAAGGGTAGTAGCAAACAACCATCTTCCGATCGCTGAATGCAACTATCTTTTCAATGTGGACGAGTATAACCCAGTATCATCTCCCTACTGGGGTTTGCAGTTGCCTTCTTATCCCTAATGAACTACTTAATCTTTATTAGACTTCGTTAATTTAGCTTAGTCAGCTTATAATTTAGAACAAGTTGTCTTAGAGCTAGCTTAATAGTTTTAGTAAAGATCAGGGAGATGTAGTGATCATCCCCTTTTTGGGGACATAGTTGGAGAGTTAGACATAACATCAATGAGAGTATATCATATATATGCACTACTATGTTTAAGAAGCCAAAAGGCTGCTGAATATTGGATCAAAGAGCTTGAAATACTTTGCATGAATAAGGTTGATTATAGTTTTCTTGTTTCTGGTGCCACGTCTGGAAATCTGGATGTCTCCCACATAAAATGATTGCTTTGGAATATAATTTGAATAGAAAAAACATATGATGACGTAAAATATCCGTTTCCTACCATTTTTTTTATGATATATATGGCAATCAAACAAATCAAGTAATCTTAACAACCAATAATATGGTACTTGATATTGTAGGAAACAATGATACCGTTCTCTGCACCATATACTTTTAAATGATTGACCATTGAAAGATAACAGTTTTTTATTAGAAGTTTGCGGAAGAGAAATGAATGACTAAGCTATGGCCTGAAAGATTTTGGCAGATATTTAGATATAAAAAGATCAAAACCTCATACGTAGCTCGACTCTTTCTCCTTGCTGATATTCACAACACCACCAAACCTTTTAACTTGGGAAGAGATTGAGATGCCCGATCAATTACATTAAGCAATACCATAAACTTCAAATCTCCCAATAAATCCGAAAAAGAGTTCCAAGTCATCTCATCTCCAGGTCAATACATATATGAATCACTTTCCCAAAAGCTGGCATCAAGTCCCTCAAAACAAAAGAAAACGTTAACCACCGAAGCAGCTAACTCATCCTAAATATTACTGTGTACAGCTTATAGCATACACCTAGGGGAACCTTAACAGAACAGCCTCGAATCTTAACCATAATGGAAAATGGAGGGTAAAAGAAAACATTATAAACAGGATAAGAGTACCATGGAAACAGTAGACTGTGTGTCAAGCTTGATTATTAAAAGAGGGCTGTTCAATGGCATTCAACACTTGATTGAAAAACAAGAGTCAAAATCCATAAAATTACTTGATCACTTAACTTCAACACCGAGTTCATGGCATATGATAAGCATAAAAGCGAAAACAACGTGACCAACAGGGCCATTCAGTCCTTACAATACCTTCAAAATGAAAATACTACCTATTTCTCTGGCTGGGGGAAAACAGATAATAACCTAGCAACTTAGCGCTTTCCACCACCACCACCAAGCTTGGGACCTTTTGGTGCAGAACCCTTGGGAATGTTACCCTTGCCCTGTGCCTTCTGTTGCTTTGCAACTACTTCTGCTTTCTTTGCCTTCTTTTCGTCCTTAGTTTTCTTGATCCTTTCCTTGATTTCTCTGCACAACAGTTGGACAGGAAATATTTCAAAATTTCCATAAATACACAGCATGATACAAGTCAAAATTGGTTATGACAGAGATGATAGAAAAGATCAAACTCATATGTAAAATGAAAAACCACACACCGGAGAGCAGCTTCCCTGGCAGCATCACGAACTTCTGGTTTCTCACTCCTCTTCTTCTGGATAACCTCTAAGGTGGCACCCACAATGGATCTGGAGTAAGGCTTCTTTGTGGTACGTCTCCTCTTCTTCACAGCCTCTTGCGCAATGTCCTAAATGTATATATACAATATAAAAACTAATATGAGAGTGGGCATGAAAACTGTAAAATATAGAAGGAAGTTATTATTACCCAATCATGCAAACATGATTTAGCTCACAACCTAGAAGCAATTACTTCAAATGCTGCAGGCAAGCAAAATGAAAAGAAAGGCAATCTTTTGAAATGAAATTGAGTTTCCAAAGCTGACACTCACCTTCTTATGTTGCTTCCTATACATGGCTGTCCATGTAAGTTTCGATGGCTTCAGACGGTTGTGGAAGTACCTCTTGCATTTTGAATTGGAAAAGAGGAAGACCTAAACAAATTGATGCAGAAGACAATTTATTAACACCACAATAACATAATATCAACCACTTCAAATCAGAATTGCATGCAAATTTACCTGAGAATCAGAACGAACAAATCTGATGCCTTTCCCTGGGTATATCTTGGCACCACTAAACCGGCAAAGCTCCGTCCTAACATGGCGACATAACACAATCAAGTGAAGGTTTTTGGAAGATCAAAATACAAACTTTTAGCATAATGCAAGAAAGCCAATAGATAATAGCAATTTCGACAAGCTAATTTTAAGCCATATCTCGTATATCCTTACACACGAGCTTAACCATTCACTAGATTATTACATAATTAATTAAACCAATTAAATATCACCGCCTAATATCCATTAGCATGATGCCAAAATCTAAACTAATTTTCAATTTACAAAAGAAAAAGAAAATCAATAATCATATATCCAGGGCGATATGAAATGAAATGGAAGGCAGATCTGTCCGTTAACGGGTTTTCCGTTTTTCCAGAAATTAAAGAAATGGGTTTTCAAGATCAGATCGTTAAATCATGATTTATAAATAATTTAAAAGAAAATAGAGGAAGAGAAAAAGGAACGTACTTGAGAACCATGGCTGCAGCTCCTCTGTTCTTGTGGAACCTAAAAACCCTAGCGATGTTGCTATGTAACGTATATCAAGGGTTATGAACAAATAACCCTTATATTATCTATATAAAAGTTGTATATAAAATTGTTAACTCCAAAATTTTAAAATATTTTTTTGTAAAAATTTTAATAAATTTTAATTAAAATAACTTTTTTATTATTATATTTTGATTGAGATAAATTGTAATTTAAACATTTTTTTATTATTAGACTTTTAATTACTCACAAAAAAGAATTTCATATTAAATATAAATATAAAAAGTTAAATATGCAAGAAATCTTCTTTTTTACACTAATATCAGATTTTTTGCTACCCTTATTAAGGTAAGTTTGCAAATGATATTAACTTTTAATTAAATTTCATTAATTTAAATTTTTTTTCTATGAATTTAAGAGTGTTTAATCATTGAATCCACCAAGAAAAAAAAATCCTGAGAAACTTATTGGTAATATGTGTTAAGATCTTTTAAATAAAAAAACAGCATTTTAACTTGAAAATTTGCTCTTTAATTTTGTTGATTCGATAAGTTTTTTGATCGTAAAATATGATTAAAAATTGAAATATAATATTTATGATTGAAGGATATTGAAAAAACTTTAATCGTATGTATTTATTAATATTATCTTAAAAGTTTTTTTGGGATGTTTTGTTGAACTAAATACAAATATAATGTTTGAAAATTTTTTGTAGAATTACATGATTGGAGAGTTGGGAAATTGGGTTGCAGAGGTTTGGGCATTATAGAGAAGAAGATCAAGTGCATGAATCATCACAACAGCTCATCCAAGGTATATTTGCCTCTGTCACTAGCTTTGCAAGATCAATCGAACTTTAATTTAATTCATCCAACTACCTGTTAAAATTTATGAAAAATCAAAATTGAAAAAATAGTAATTCAAATTAAATCATATATTATATAACATTAAAAAATCGTATTTGTATATGATATTAATTAGGGACGGATCTAAGATTTATGCTTGACAGGAGCAAATTTATTATATTAACTATCAATAATATTGATATAATAATTTTATATTTATATTATGAACCGACTCAATTTTTTAAAAACATCAATATATTTTTTAATATTATAAAAGACTCACACTTAAATATTTCTTTTACCATTAATAGGTCTAAAACAAAAAAAAAAATTGAATTTATTTTTAGTAATTCCTTCTTTTTTTTATATTTTACTCTAGGCAAAATACAAGAATCATTAAAATTTTAGATAAATTCATAATGATTAAAATTAATTTTCAAGATTTTAGTAGGGGCAGCCGGCCCATTGCCCCTACCTTGGATCCATCCCTGGTGTTGGTTGTTTCCTTAATGTTGTTTATTCCCTGTTCATCATATTAACTGCATAATTATACTGCTGATTTGCTACAAAAATGGACTTAGCATATAATCATATGAAAAGGTTGACAATTTAATCTTTTTTTTTTTTAATCATTTAAGGGGACAGAGTTTTATATTAAATGAGATGTCTTTTTTAAGGTTGTCTTAACTACTAAGATCAAACAGTTGAAAATAATTTAACATGTTCAAACTATGATTTTATGGATCATATAACCTATGGTATTTTATAGCTCTTGATAAGCCAAAAGGTTGAAGCTAGATCAAAATGCAACCTTTTCTTTTGTTAAGCAAAGAATCAAGCATTTGTAGATTTAATTCTGTTTTGTTCTCCAAAACAGAATTTAAAAGATAAATATATTAAAACAAGGAAGGAGAAACAATTTAAAGAACATGAACCAATAAACGTGGTAAGTTCTAAAAATGCTTAGTGATGGTCTAAATTGATCATTTATAATTATAAGAATATGCATAACGATATTATCATTAAAAGCTTTGATCAAGTTAGAGATCAAACAGTATTTTTTTTTTAATAAAAACTTTTATGGGATTTTTTGTGTAAAATTTATGCATATTTATCTTCTTGTCTTTTCGTGAAAAAAAATCTTGTCTTCTTTGCAGACAAGGTGATTGGCTCATCTCCATCGGAAAAATTGTCTGTTGATTGCTTGGAATTTCTTTCATCAAATTTGGCTATAAATCAAGAAGAAAAGTTAAGCATCGTGAATTCTTTCAAGGTGAAACCAAATTTATTGAAATTATATTTTGAATTTAATTATGTTAAAATTACATTTATTTATAAAAATTTATATATATTAACAATGAAACCATTATAAATTGTATAGATGTTACACAATAAATTTATTATTTCATTCGATCAAATCCTCAATAACTATTAACTTCTTATGAAAAAGATCCTAATATTTTTTCTTCATTAATATTTTGTTATTTTCACTATTTTTTATTTCATAATATCTAATCATATAAAGAGGATGGTTCTTCTTGCAAGTTTTATTGGTGGCCCTAGAGACATGTGGCGTAGATGCAATGACTTTGGTCCAACGATTTGGGAAACCAAATCTTTTTATAATTATGATATGTAATCCAGAATAAAAGTAAATTACAGATGAGCTCAAAGAAGGTCAACTTGCTCAAGATAAACCAGATCTGACTTCTAAAATATTTCGTGCTAAATTGCAAGAGCTGGAAGATAAACTTTTCAAGAAAGAAATATTTGAAAAAGTTGCAGCACAAGTACATATTATTGAATTTTAAAAGAAAAGGATTTCCCCATGCCCATACATTAATCTTATTACAACAAGGAAACAAGATTTTATCTGAAAATCAATTTGATAGATATGTTTGTGCAGAATTACCGAATAAAGAATTTTATCCACAGCTATATAAATTGGTTATGAAAAACATGATACATCATCCTTGTGGAAAATACAACATATCAAATCATGCATAGTTGATGATAAACGCAAGTCTCACTATCCTAGGACCTTCTGTTCACAGACACTGCAAGGAAAAGATGGATAGCCAATATAGAGAATAAGAGCAAATGGATGGTCATAAAGAACAAAGAAAAGAGGAGAACCTGATTATTACAACAAATGTGGATTATGTTGAAGAACATCCCACTAGTTCTGGCAATGCCAATAGATTGCCTGATGCTGATCGTACAAAGGATACTGGTCAAGCAAGTCAAGGTAATAAGAGAGGAAGCCGCTCAACAAGGCGGAAACTTTTGGCATCGGTTGACTTAAAGTGCAAATTAGTTGACTTTAGGAATGCATTTTGGACATATAAACAGTTTACAAATGACATTCAGACAAAGAGAGTATAGGTGTCCTGAGGTGATCCTGGGATCTAAATATTCTACGTCAGCAGACCTTTGGTCATTTGCTTGCATTTATTTTGAGATTGCAACGGGTGATGTTCTCATTGATCCTCATGGCGGCGACAATTTTGTCAGAGATGAGGTTTTTTTTTTATAATGCTGTTATCTCTTTTATGGTTTTTGCACCACTTATTATGCATGTGTTTGTTTTTGAGTTTTTCAATTTCTTTTGATGGAAGTTCATTCAAGATGTGGCATTCAATCTTTGAAGGTTGTAATAAACTTGAAAATCTAAAATAATTTATTTCCTTATTCTTGGAAAGGAAAAAAATAATTCAGCGCATCTGCAAAAGAAAAGAGAGGCTATAAACAGGGATAAAAATATTTGATTTTCTTTGCTTGTTATATTGAACTTGTAGTTAAAAATGCCTAAAGAAAAGCATAGACTTTTAGGAAAAATGTTATTTCGACTTGCAAAATATGTATATTAAAATTCTTCTATAAGTGCTATGGAGCAGGTTTGAACTCGAGAACCCTGAAAAGAAAAAACGACGGTGAGCAAGATGTAAATGACATGACTGACTTCTTGAATCTTGATTTCCATCCTTGATTTTATACCTGAGAAGCGTACGAGTGCTGCTCAGTGCCTTCTTCATCCATGGATCAACGCAGGCCCCCGACTTTTAGAGCCAACAGGGTCATCATCACAAAGCCAAGCTGCGGATGCTCACATTTATGAGAAAAAGAAGAGGGAGGCAATGGAGGTTGCAATGGGGAATATTGCCGTCAGTGCAGATTCTAACCAGCCGAAGATCTCCAGTTTAGGTCGAAAATCCTCCAAGGCAGCAACTACTTCTAGCTAGGACTCGCTCCTACATTTCTAGAAGCCTGCTCCTTCAGTTTTACTGCATAGACTAGTTTTGAGCCCGAATCTATGCAGAGTACATGTAATTCTTTTAAAACATTTTTTTCTTACAAAATATAACTGAAATTGCATTCAAATATATGTATTGGAAAATCAAGCCGAATTTGCATTCATACTCAATAAAATCTAGTAAAAATCCAGTAAAAACTAGTAACAAAGAAACTAACGCACGCAAACTAAAGATAGCTAGATTACTTTTTGGGTGGTTTTTGTTTAAACATTCCAATTATTCATCAACCGTCATACAACAAAAAAGCACTTCATAACAAAAAGATACAAAAGCAGAAGCAAAACCATAAAAAAAAAAAAAAAAAAACCGACCCATTTTGGTTTGAGATCACTCTATACTAACTAAGGGTATATGCAGAGTTTAAGATCACATTTTGGTTTTGCCTGAGCGGTCCACACGTATAATGCGTTCCTCATTTATACGCCCAACATCATTGAAAGTTTGGCCACTCATCTGATCTGATGCTTTCAGGGTAGCAGCAATTGCTCGTGGTGGGGTATCTTCAACTTTGATCACAATATCCTCTGAAACGCCTTGACGCCCTTCACCATTCATGTCATTGCATCCAGCTTCATAAGCCTTCCTTCCAGCTTCATCTTTGTAGTCGCCCCCTCTCAGCTTCATTTCTTCCATTTTCTGTCTAGTTGACTCCGTTGTTTCACTCAGCTTTTCCTATATAATTTAAGCAACATTGCGTATGTATTAGTGAATAGGAACAAAAAGAGAGAAAGTTGAGATAAATATGATTCATCACGTTGGTTTTCTCTGCAGTCTCTGATGCATTCTGCTTCGTTTCTTCAGTCTTCCCAGTAAGGAAATCCATAGCTCTCCTAGCAGCATCAGCAGCAGAATCTTTCAAATCCCCTAGCGTACAACTGTCGTATCCTTACCTTCCTTTGCTTTCTCAGCAGCATAATCTGTGTAGTCCTTCATCTTGTCCAC